TGGATGGTCAACACCAAGCACCTTCTCACTGGTTGCCAGCGTCTGCCTGTGCATCGATTCCGCCTCCGCGTATTTGCCTTGGCGCCCCAGTACTCCCGCCAAGCTGCCCATGGTCGTCAGCGTGTCTGGATGGTCAACACCAAGCACCTTCTCATGCGTCGCCAGTGTCTGTCTGTACATCGATTCCGCCTCCGCGTACTTGCCTTGGCTGTCCAGCACTCCCGCCAAGTTGTTCATGGTCGTCAGCGTGTCTGGATGGTCAACACCAAGCACCTTCTCACTGGTTGCCAGTGTCTGTCTGTGCATTGATTCCGCCTCTGCGTACTTGCCTTGATTGCCTAGTGCTACCGCGAAGTTGTTCTTGCTCTTCAGCGTCAAAACATCCTCATTGCCCATACTTCTTTCTCTTAACACCAGCGCTTGCCGATGCATCGCTCCTGCCTCCCAGTACTGCCCCAGCGTCGATTGGCAACATCCGATCCGCTCAAAAAGCGACGCTCTTGCCGCATCATCCACTGTTGTCTCTAAAGTGGCCAAGTGGATTGCGTGCGGAAGGTACATCGACCAGGTCTCCTTCTCCTTGTGCCCCCCGTACGGCAAAACCTCCTTAAGCCTCTCCACGGCTTTAACTACCCAACCCTTCTTTTCATCATGGTCCTCCAGCCATTTCGCTGACATCATATGGACCAACCGGTGCATATCAAAACACACCTCACCGCCTAGCCCAGGTAGAGCCTGTTGCCGCTCTGTAATAAATACATATCCTTTCAGCGTCCCGATCGCTTTCAATTGCTGCAGTGGAGACCCTATTACAGGTAATAGTGACTTTGGGATATTACTTCGATCTATACATGATATAAAAGAGAGGTACTCCGCAGCAAGTGGGTCTTCCTTTTGAATCTGATTAAATGAGATATACCATGTTTTAGCAATCGTGCTGTCCATTTCGCGGTATCTACCTGGGTCTTCAAAACTCTCGCCAAAAGCGCCTATCTCCGTATCTCGCATCAATGAGATGTATGCTGTGACCGAGGTCTCATTACTATTTATGAAAGCCGCAGCCTGCACAATAGCAAGTGCATGATAAGCAAGTTTCTCAAGCAGCTCATCCACAGCTCTTCCATCGGTGAGCAATGCCCGTTTCGAGATGCGCCGCTCAAACAGCTGCCGTGCTTCCAGCCCGCCCATATCCTGCAACTCCAGGGTTTTTGCCGGGGCTAAAACAGTAGCCGCTTTCCTGCTTCGCGATGTGAAGATGATCTTGCCACTATCATACGGAATGTAATCCAGTAGTCGAGTTTTACCGCTCATCAGTATCTCAGTATCATCCGCATTATCCACAATCATCAGCCAATTTCGCTTATTTAAGCTTAACGTCTCTTTAACCAGCCGCTTGATATCTGCATTATCGTCACCCAAGCCCGGCACATTAAGCAGTGTTCCGATTTTGAGATATGCAAGCTCAAAGGTTTCTTTGCTAATAGCAGGCACCCAGAAGATAAGGTATCCAGGATGTCGGGCGAGTGTGCGGTATGCAAACTCAAGTACAAGTGCGGATTTCCCACACCCGCCCAGTCCATATACAGTCAAACGTTGGTGGCTATTCGGGAGGAGGAAATGTTCAAGAATCCTGAGTTCTTCTTCTCGTCCGACGAATTGTTCATTTCGTGGAAAGGGTAGTGGCAAGGCAACTATATATGGTTAGCTCCTGGCGCCGTGAGGTGGAACACTACGCTTAAGCCTATACCTGTTAAGTCCTGCAGATGCTCTAGGCCTCGTCTTTCCTGCCGTCTCGCTATCTCGTGTCTCAGCCGGTCAGTCGCGTGCGCTTCGCCTTCTCCATATAAAAGGGGCAGGAACACTCCAAATATCCCCAAAAGACAATATACTTTATCCTCCTTCAGTGTAGTTATGCGTCGAGCAGCCCACTGCAGTCGTTCTTCTATACTGAAAGTAGAGAACTTTCGTTGTCCTCTAAGGACTTCGATGGGAAGCTTAGTGATTTTATGAATATCTTGCTCTAATGATATCTTAGTCCCTAGTAGTTTACCATCTTCAGAGAAGAACTCCACGACAGAAGGCGCTAATAGCTCCTGCAGCGTCCAGCCTCGTGTGAACCATCGGCTTTGTCGAAAGCTGGTCTCCCATGTTATACGGAAATCCTGGGCGTCAGTAACCTCCTCCGGTACTTGGACATCTGATAGATATACGTAGCACTTCTTCGCGCGTTGGTAATATCGAAACATTAAGTTAATCTCTGTCTGAAGCTCTGCGCTGTCGGACCTATTAATACAGCAGGTATCTACCCAGCAGTAAGGAATACCATCATGTGCCGCTCTGTTTACACAGAAGCGGATCTTCGCGACGCCAGATTTGTCTCTGCCAGTACCGGTCATTAGATCGCTGTATGTGACTTCTTGGCCCTCAATCCAGGTATGCGAGAGAATGGCATATGAAGGAGTGCTGTCATCAGGGAAGGAAACCAGCTCAAAGCTGCTGAGCGATGATGTGTTTAGGAGTCGCATTATAATATGAAGGCTCTACTGAGGTAGAAACACTTTAAGTGCAGAGTAGTAAAGTTCTATTAGAGTTCTGTTGCAATCTGCTTGAGCCTGGAACCCGCGCGGAAGATGTTAATCAGGCTGAAGGCTGACGCTGCGGGGTATGAAAAATCTGCTGATCAAGCCAGAAGTCAACACACGTGTCCGGGCTAAGCGCATACCTAATAGAAGTACCTCCAGTAAGAAAGCTGTTGTATTTTCGGCTGGCGATCGTTTCAGCACCTATGTTATTAAAGGCTCAGCTACTTGAAGGAATCACGCTGGCATTCTTGATCCGGTCTAAGAGACGATTAATTAAATGTGAAACGATGCACAGCCACAGATTAGATAAGGTCCAGAGTAGTCATAACTTAAGACTTCAATTAACAAAATATATTTAAGAGTTATTTACTAGGATATCAACAAAGTTAAAGCTGATTAACCTATAAAATATAACTTAACATATTCGAGTTCAACGACTCAGCTGGTATAATTATGAATTCATTTTTCCACGTGATAGACTGGGCGAGTGCCTTGGGTGGACCCTGAATCCTGGCCACACACTTTTAGGATTGTGATTCGCTGATCCTACTCTACAGCGAGAGCAAATCTCTTTTTATTATATAGATCTACATATATACTTAGCTTTTGATTAAATGTTTTAGAACTGATCGTTGTAATCGCTATGATTAAAATCTGCAGCCTGTGGTCCCAACTGGCGTGAAGTCGAGAACTTCAACTTTTGGGCGACTAAAAATAGATAAGTCTGAAATCTGCTTCATTTTCAGGCTCAAGGCTTGTTCCCTCCTCAGCTTTACACATATGCTATTCACGCTCGCTTTTATGCCTTTACTTGTTCTCTTCCCTTTGCTTCACAATCGCCTTCATCACCGTAAGCTAACTTAGACCGAGCCTGCCAGGCGCTGACTCAGAATCAGTGTCGGGGAACTAACTTACTTGAACACGGGAGGACAGCATTGTAACTGTGAAGTATCCGGTTGTGAAAGGTGCTCAATTCAGTAACATGTATACTAGGTATAAGTGCTTGAAATAAAGCAAGACGTTGCACAAAAGGGAGAAGAAGAGAGGACAGATCTGGGGAGAATGAACATCTATTCATCCCCTTTGCACTCTTCCTGATCAAACCTGGAGTTCTACGTGAGCTAACCTTGACGGTGTTGGTTATATTGAGGCAACAGCATGGTGCCTGTCATGCGTCATGGAGGAACGCCGAGACGTGTGTCACGTGTCCAACCTTAGATCCTTTAAGACAACAGAATTATGCCTATCATGTGTCATGGGAGAATCCGGTGACACGACCTTATTTCGCTTTCTTTAAGCACTACTTAGGGTCTTTATAATATATCTGCTAGACAAACGAGACTGGCAAACTAAGTGTGATTGAGTCCCATAATGGCAGCAACCTTGTCCCTTAATATGCTATACTTCCTCCCACATAGCTTACTGATAAGGAAAAGTCTACCCTGAAAGATCAACAAACAAAGACTGGGCTGGACAAGACTAGCCACAAGAAGCTGCTTTTCTACGGGAAACAAGAACCGCTGTATTCTTCTCTCAAGAATAAGAGCCACTGCGCGATAAGAGTTTTCTGCTGCAACAAAGTTATGAAATGACGAGTATTCCCCAATCTGCAAATCAACGGAAGTCATATATCTGAAATTTACGGTTCATGAATGATGGTAGTGGATGCAGCACCAAGTTACGCCTGCGGATCGATCCAAGTTCCCAGAAAGGAAATAGGAAGGCTAGGCTGATATTGTACCTAGGTTTTGCTGTTCATTGACGCGATGCTCATGCCGAAAACGAGTGCTTCAGCTGCGTGTGCCGCGCGCTGGAGGATGATATGGCGCCCATAGTTATCATAGCAGGCAATTACGGCGCGTTATGTGTCAAGGGGACAACCTCCAAAGACACGCATGGCCTTGCCCTTTGGCTTTTTTTGGACTGAGTCGTCATCGCTAATACGATGGAGGACCAGCAAGTAGAGATCAGCAAGATGTCAGAACCCGCGGGCAAGAGGAAAAGATGGACCTGTCCTCCGATTGCACTCACGCTGTTGACACTAAATCAGGCAGGAGGTGGGCTGCCATACTTGAGGGACCTGATTATGACAAGCTTCTTGATAGCGCAGAAGTGCAACGCGACCAAGGTTAAGCTCGCAGACGTTGACCGCAGCTTCAAACTCTTCTAACAAATCAGGACAGGTTGTCGAGGTATGTGTCTCTCTTATGATGACCATAATGATTCAGTTTAGTTCACCGAATAGGAAGTTCGTCAGCGAGGTTGAGAGGCGATTCGCAAGTTCAACAGGTTTAATTATGCCTTCGTACACCAACAGAAAATTCCCCCTTGGTGGCAATGCCATGAAAGTCTCCCACGCTGCTCCTAAATATAACAGAAAAGTCTGTGTTTTATTCTACCCTCTCAAAAACGTCGAACAAAGATACTCATGAAGAACCAGAGTAGGCATGCATTTGGTGATTGCACAGCTGACAGCTAGGATTACTGGGGAACAGCACGCGCTTGGTGATCTGGCGGGCATGCCTTTCTTTCCCCTTTTCAACCGCTCCTATAATGGAGAAGGGGCAGCAGAGAAGAACCGGCGATCAAGATTTTGGAGAAGGGGCTGAGATTGGAAAGGGAGGGTTACGGTCGAACAAAAGAGGAAGAATTGACTTGCATTTGCACTCGATATACAATCTGGTTTAAATGAGATGGTATCGTTGCCACTTTATGTCGTCTAGGAACGCCGCCACCATACTGATGCTCATACTGATGCCGTACCAGACCCTAATTCTATGTCTTTAACTGTCATCTTTTTCATTCGTCATCAGCGGTTGTTAAATGACAGAGATGAGGAAGGCCCCCGGACCTCGTTCTTCGACGTCACTTCGGCCTTTCGCGCCCTTCTTTTTTCAGCTTTCGGCAGAATCTCTGTGTTGGTCAGCTCCTCAGCAGCCCTGCAATCTCCTAAGCCCCCAAGCACGAACGTGCCACTTGTCCAGCCGCTCTCATCGACCAGATCCTTGTCCGTGTCGTCCTGAACGCGTGGCCGTCGCATATTCAGTCGTTGAGCTCGACCTCGTCTGCTTATTCAGGATAGTGAAGTTGTGATCGTGGTTGCTCCTCATTTGGTGACTCAGTTTGTGGCGTCTTGCGGGATGGTTGTGTAGCTGCTGTAGCCATCATACGTGACCATACGCAGCCTCAGCTTAATCACCTCGCTGCGGTTGCGGTTCAGCCCCCAGAGTGCGCGAATCTTGTGTCACCTGTATGGCCGGGTCCGGCTCCGCTAGGAATCCGACGCTGAAGCGATGCTTATCGGATGCTTACTTTGACGCCTAGGTCATTAGCTAGTCGCTCAAGTAAGCGCGATAAGCACTCCTGGTTCGGGAGGTATGGGAGCGCTAGGGTTCGCGCGGAACATGTACTGCTCATGCTTGCTGACGTTCGTCCAGCCCACTGTCCAGCTGAGGGCCGTAGTATTGTTGCTTTCAGCGAGTCGCCGTTGTTGCATTTGTTGCTGGCTTTCCTGGGCCCCTGAGGCTCGGAACTTCGTTTTCGGAAGTCTTAGACCCGCGTCATTTTCTTGCTGTGAACAAAGAATGCTAATAAAGAGAGGTAATGCTAGTATGTCCTGCCTTAAGTATAAGTAAGGCTCCTGCCTCGCTGCGCGTATGCCGTCTATCTCTATAAATATGTCTATAAGCAGAGTATGAAATGTGCTGGCAGTGCAATTTTCCTAGGTACCCCATGGAAACTTATCCTTGTTTGAACGAAGGTTCCCTTTTATTGTCTCTGTACTCAGGTTAAGCCATGGTGGAAGTTTCTAAAGCCGGTACTGATTGAGGAGACCAAGAATAAAGGGAGGTGCATTATAATCCTTGCTGGCCGGTGTCAGAAGGCAGCAAATTATTTGCGCAGTGAGGCCAAGTTCACGACATTCGACAACACATCATCGGCTATAGTACGGGGAACAGATATCCACGAACATAGGTGGCCACCAAATGCACATATCAGCGCATCTTCTATCAGTGAGAATCGTGGCGAGCAAACTGGATCTTCGCGAGACACTGTGGAAGGGTTGGAATTGTACGGCCAAACTGAGCGACGTGGCTTTCAAAGAAGCATTTTCCAGCCTTCGGTGGATATATGAACACAAATGATGCTTTTCTTTCAGAAAATGAAACTAATCATTGTTTTCGTTGTGCTTTTATCGGGGAACAAATCCCAAACAAGGGAGCCTGGGAGTCGGGGACGGTCCTTTCAAGCGGGATCAAAGTCACGTGCCATGCTTCGCGTAAACACCACGCTCTTTCGTCATCCAAACACGCGAATTGCTTCACGCCATCTCAGTTTGCGTTCTCACGTTCCAAAGCCAGCTATAAGCGCAACATCCTGGACCGACTGACTATACGATGCCCGGACCTGTAGGGCGCAGAAAGCGCGACAACGCCGAGCGTCCTGAGAACTACTATGAAGCCGGTGTTCAGGGACGGTAAGTAAACTGACCTCTCAGATGGCTCCAGCTGTTTCAATGCAATTGCTGACTGGGGATAACATGCAGAAAAACTGGTATCACTTTGCCGCAAGGAGCGCGCGACGAGCACGGTATCGAAGATCTCGATGGCATATTCTCATCTCCGGAGAAGGTCGCCTCCTCTCCGGAGAAACGACAGCAGCGAAATGGAAACAAAAGCCTAACATCGGAAGATATGGAGATCGCACACAGTACGTACTACGTGGGCTCAGTTGGACTCAGGGAGTAACAGGCTAATACCGACATTGAAGGCGGGAGCGCGCCTGATCCAACAGAAGTACTCTCCACGCGCCGGTCGATGCTTAAAAGTTCAAAGACGACGTTTCCTCCACCCATGGGCAGATCACCACATAAGACAAACATCGGCTCATCGCCGCGAAGACAGTCTAGTGTGAAACCGAAACGGGTGGATGGCAACCTTGAGCCATTGCTCCCAAGGCCAACTGTCACGCGGCGTTTGGATTTTAGCGCTGCTGAAGATGCGAGAACATTGAATCAAGCGGCCAGGAGCGAAAACCTAGCGAAGACAGACATATATGCATTGGAAGCTACTGACGAGGAGGGAGAACGCGACACCACGGAGCCAGAATTACCATTACGCAATGAGGAGTCGATGGAACTTCTGGAACAAGGCGACTATGATCCTTTGCTTGTGCTGGACGATGCTTCAGAAATTCACCAGATCTCATCCCCGACGAGAAGAAAGAGTACGAAAGTATCAATGGAAAGGCAAAGAGAGGCGTCACAGCTCTACTCAGCAGAGGCAGTGGGAGGAGAAGACGTGGAGGATGCTGTGTCTGCTTCTAGTTCGAAGCAAAAGGGCAAGGCACCAGCACGGGAATCTCCTCAGGCTGTGAAGTCCACTGCGACGACCAAAAGCTTGCAAAGGCGAGGAGGCAAGGCCCAATTACTATCCTCCAAACTACAGACCACCTCGAAACGGAATATTTCAGCAGACGAGTCTGTTGTGGAGACTTCTTATGTGGACTCGCCAACGCAGCAGACTGTAAGCAGGGGCAGAAACAAAAACACAGCACGAGGTCGACAACTTCCCACGCCAGATGATACGCAGCCTGCTGCCGATGAACCCATTGAGACAACTGAATTAGATGAGACAAGAACTGAGCTTCCACCTATTGATCGAACAGTGAAGAAGCGTGGGAGACCTGCGAAGAGAAAAATGGAGGTTCATGAAGACACTGAGCAAGATGTCCCTGCTACTACTGAGACTGGGAAGGCTAGTGAAGCTGAACAGCGTGCAGCGAAGCGCGCAAAGCACTCTCGCAAGAAAACTACAAAGACCGGCACTCCAAAAGAACGCGACCCCAACGTTTCTTCCTTTAAGAAACCGGAGATACCTCCTAAAACTGGGACAGGCTCGCGCTGGGATGAGTCAATGTGGGCTTCCTCGCGAAACATGTCGCGCTTACGCGATCCGACCCCCAGTGCTGAAGCCTTGGTCGGTCGCACGAGAAGCGGTAGACAGGTCATCAAACCGTTGAACCATTTCGCGAATGAACGCGCGCAATACGGGCGGGATGGCACGCTCCTTGCTGTACAGACTGCGGAGACTGTGGAAAGACAGGTAACTTCTAGATCGAGGAGTCGAGCCTCAAAACGGGCGTCGAGCAAAGCTCCTTCTAGGAGAGCGGCATCGAGAGCAAGGTCGGGAGTGGACGAGACAATTATGGAAGACGACGGGGAAAGTGACAGCGTGGAGATGGAGGAGTGGGAAGCGAGTGGGGAGATGATCCATGGCGAAGTCAACGACTATGACCCGCTCCGGGGAACTGCAACGGATGAGTATTTCGAGACCGGTATGTGCTTTGCTCCTGTCCAACTTTGCTAGCTTACAGACTCTGTCTGCGAACCGCATCACCGCTCTTGACTCACCCCTTACTGACATGTCCAATACAGAGCTGGCATGGGGTCCCAACTCGGTCCCTCTACTCCCTGTTCATTCTGCGAAATTCGGCTTCGCAAAGCTACTCTCGATGCCCTACTTTGGATCCGGACTTATGGATTTTCCTGTGGGAGGTTATAAGAAGCCGAGGAATTCGGGAAAGACCAGCTTGCACGCCTTTGTGCATACAGGAAAAGTTTTTGTGCGCATCAGCGGAAGGACGGAATTCATGGTCAGTAAAGGGGGGAGTTTTCATGTACCAAGAGGTAAGTTTGAATCTCTCAGTCCTTTCGTTTCGTTCCGTGTTAGTTTTTCGGAGGTCCTTGGATGCGCTTTGCCCTCCTACACTTTCATTTCCCTTCTCCAGCTCTGGTTTTGCGCGCAGCACTTTGGATCGTCCATTTTCCCTACGGATGCACGATGGCACATTGTCTTGACCTTACGAAGCTTGAAGAGAGAGCATCGGCAATCGGGCAATCGTTCGATTGACAGTGTTCACGTGCCTCGCACACCTTTTTTTCTCTTATGACCAGAGGCAAAAAAAAACTTCTGTTCGTCAGCTGAGGTCGAGATCCGTAAACTCTGTCTTCTGGGATCCACTTGTCGCAATGGCTTGTGCACCGCGATCCATTCCGTACCACCTAGCCTCGCGGCACGCAACATCCATACGACGACGAGGCTTCCAAAAGGACGGTCGCAGAACGACAGAGAAGCGGTGAAGAAACACGTTCATCCGCTTCCTCTTTCCCCGAGCCACACGATTCTGGTACGACCGCTGGCAATTGAACGGTCGTCCAAGCGCTCCTCCAAGGCTGGAAGAAAGAATCTGAGGATCCAAACAGTGTGGGGACAAGGGTTTCCAGCCCTTTATTTTTTTTGTTCATTTTTTTTGAAGCGAGATGTCGATCCATTTTGCTCCGATCATCCCTGTTTGAACTGTGTCACAACCGCACAGATAAGGCTGGAGATTGTTTGCTGGGTAGCCTTGTTTGGATACATGCCACGACATGCCGGCTTCCTCTGCGGGTCAGAATCTGGACGCACGGCCATGTGTGTGCCATGGGGGGAACATCAACGTTGTGGCGACACACAGGCTCACCATCGGAGTATTATCTGCAGCAGCCGCAAGTGCAGCTTCGTTCCTTTGCCAACCTGGCTTCCGGACGCGCGAAGAAGCTGTCCGTCGCACAGTCATTGCATCGGAATCGCAATCATCCTCCCCACCGCGATGCAACCAGCCCCTTGTTGTGCAACCAGGTGATGGCGACGACATCTCATCTCCGGAACGTTTCTTCACGGGCCAGCCTTCCTTTTTTTTTTTTTAATTCTTCTTCTTACCGCTTCGAGAGAGAAAATTTTTTTTTCCCTTTCCTTTCCCTCCCCCCTTCCTGCACGTTCACGGTTTGGACGCCTGCTGACGAGTTCACGCGCAGGGAACCTCTACGAAATTCAAAATGTGGCTAACGTACCGGCGAGGCTGTTCTTTGCTCAAGGTATGGAGATTGTGGTCAGCGAATGAGCAGAGGGCATATGAGCAGTTTGACTGAAGAGCATTATGCGCGTCGCGTCGATGTGATTTTACGACTTTCAAATGGGGGCTGGTTTTGTTCCTCGCTCCTCTTCGGGGGGGGTGGCTCAATTGTTAATAGCGTAGAGATTTGCGAAAATTGTTTCGCTGAATGCATCGTCTTGAGGATGATCTTCTCAGCACGTGGTTCCTGAAAGTTTTGTTGATTTGTTCTGTACTTTTGCATCTACTCTTCTCAGACCTGATGACACTTTGTTTCGTCCGAGCTCGTTCCTTCGGCCACGACGACAAGGCTGGGCGCAGGCTGTCTTGCCCCCGATCGTGAAGTGAAGTCGTCGCATTCGATCGAACTGACTTGAGCGACGTCGATCGTGATGCCGACATCCTCACCGCTACATCTGCCCCGTTCTTGCCGTCAGAGACTCGCCCCCGGGAAAACCCCCCACCATTCATCGTCGACGGATCTGTGTCGGGGTCTGGTGTCACGTTACCATCCGCTTATAGCTCCTCCATATCACTTCCCATCAGGTCGTCATCCAGATTTGGAAAGTCGCCCACCTCAACTCGCTCCGGTCGCACAAACACGCCGTGCTTGGGTTTGCATTCGAAGTAGCGCTTGGTCTCACCGGTGGCTTTGTCGACGATGCTGCCGTCATTCTTTCCAGTGGGCTCGTCAAGCGTGATGCCGACCCATGGGCCAAGACCGCCAGGGATCTCGGGGACAGCGCCGACGTAGGATACGGTGCCACGGCGAGAGTCGCTGCTTGGGAGGAGCTGGCAGCGTGCATTGAGGGTTATTCCTTGGAGACGTATGTCAGCGGAACATGTGGGCAAGAGAGCGGCCTTGAACCTGGGTCGTCGATGGAGAGGTCAACTGCAGGGAGTCACTTGGCCCGATAGCGTACCGAGACCAAGATGAAGTCGTACGAATTGATCGTCCACACCGACGCGCATGACCTACCGCGTTCCTCAACTTCTCTCTCCAAGGCGTGGATCTTCTGCTGTTCCAGCGTCGGCGCGTTTGGATCAAACCGTCCTAGCTTTTGGGCCTTCTTCCACGCGAGCACGCTGTCCTTGCGGGCCTCGTACTCCGCTTCCGGCATGACATATTTTTCCACGGACGAGACATCGTTGAAGTCGATGCGCGCGCCTGGAGGACGCGTGTCCACGACCTAAAGCCACGGCATTAGCGATGGCGCACCGCCGTTTACGTCATGACGAGGCTGGGTCAAGGGAGAAGAGTGAAGCTTGATGGAAAGACGAGGCTGGAAGCACACATGTGACCGCGTCGTCGACGGATGTGTCGATCACGTGGGGCTTCCCCCTTCAGCGCAAAGGGGAGGGGGCGTGAGAGAAAGAGAGAGTGAGAGTGAGAGTGAGAGTGAGCGTGCGAGTGAGTGGGTGAGTGGGTGAGTGAGTGAGTGAGTGAGTGAGTGAGTGTGTGTGTGTCTGTGTGAGTGTGTTTTGGAGGCGATGCGATCGACGCGCCAGCCCAGTGGCAAGGCATGAATGGTCTTGCGACGGCAGAAAAGCCGAGGCGTAAAGCGCTGGTCTCTGTTTCGAGAAAGGCTCTAGAAGTCTCGTGATGGAATGCTTTGACGGAGAGGTTTGCAGTCGTTGAGCATGAACGGCAGATGGTCTTCGGCAAAGTCGATCGCCGGCACCCATCTCCGAGCGTGGGCGACCTGTCTCCAGCAGCAAAAAGCCAAAACGAAACTCGAAACAAGAGGCTGCGAGAACCCAGCGCATCGGGCGACCCAGATGCGTGGCGCACGACGCGATAGGAGGAAATAATGGGTGGCGGCGAGGTGGCCCTTTTGCGCAGACTTACTGAGAGCTCCGCATACGGTTGCAGCCCAAAGGCAGCGAGCTGCGTCTGCTCCTCGCTTGCGGCCTCGATGGCGATCGCATCGTGCGACGCCGTGCGCAAGGTCAGCTTCTGCGCGGCGGACGGGATGCCGGTGATGGGCTCCAGGCGGGACTTGAAGTGCGCAATCGTCCAGGACGGATTGACACGCCGTTCGGACTGCGCGTTCGCAGACCTGATCAAGAGCGGCACGTCGGCCACGGAGCCGAGCGGGTGTGGGGTCGCCATTGATGCTGTTCGATCTTCTCGGCTGGCGAGACGAAAGGCAATCGGGGGCGTGGGCAGACGGGGAGGTCGAGGGCGGCGTCGACGGGCTAGTGCAAGGACGGTGGAGGGGACACCACGATCGCGCGACGGAAGAAGAAATGCTGCGACGGCTCAAAAGCAAATCCGCCGCGCGTGCTGGGCGCTGGGCAGACCACGCCCGAGCCAGCCATGCCCGCCTGCGACGACGGCGCGCGGAGAGACGAATCCCCTGGGCAAGCAGTGTCGGCGGCGATGCGTCCTGGCTCTGCCACGGAGGCGGCCGTGTGCGATCCGCCAGCGACGCGCCGACGACGACGAGGGCGCGACGAGGGCGGGCGGCGATGTCACGTGCTGCTCTGTGGCTGGCGGCCGCCGGCGAGAAAGCTGACGGAGGACGAGATCGGCGGGACGAGACCAACAAACGAAGAGAGGCCCAAGAAAAAAAAAAAGAAGAAGAGGAAAAGCAGAAGACCAAAAAGAAGCGCGGATCCGTGACGAGCCGAAGCACGATGCCACTGTGCCGGATCCAGACCATCGTCGCATCGACGGCATCGCGCTTGGCCGCCTCTCCTGCCTCCTCCTCGGTGGCCCACGGGGCCGTCCTTTGCTTTTTCACCTGCTGAAGCTACTGCAGGCTAGAGCTGGACACGAACTCGTTGGAGCGGGCCCCTTGTCTCGAGATGCATCGACAGATCCCCGATCAAAACTATCACTCGTCATCTTACATGCGCCAGCAGGACCCGGCCAGCTGGGAACCTGGATGTTCGTGGTTTTCAGATGCCACGAAGGCGCGCTTGCGGCTTGACGTCTCGACATTGCGAACAGATCCCGGGTCGCAGCGCTCACCGCCATCCTCAGCAAGCCGATTCGAGCCATGCTCCAGGGATGCCGTGTTCGCTTCCAGCGGAAAATGCCAGCAAAGACTCGTTCCTTCAGCCAGCGGCGGTCTGCGGCTCTGTCGACGACCGCCCTCCGTGGGCTCGCCCGCCCGTGGGCCCCCGTCGTGAGCAGATCGACCGCCGCCCGCCCTCTCGCCGGACGCGATGTCTCGCCTGGAGATGGCAATCGGCGGGTGCGGGGTGCGCGTCGCATCTCCGCCGCCATCTCGCATCGCACCCGCCGCGACTGAGGAAGGCAAAGGAAGGCTTCGGCAAGAAATCGATGTCAGAACGATGGATCCGTGCGTCCCGCCTTTGCTAATGTGGCTCCCGATTGCTCTGATGCATAACATTTGCATGTCTGCCAACCACCCGGCGCGCTTGACGGACGGACACAACTCGACGGATCCAGACAGGTTTGTGGCTACCGGAGCCGGACATGGCCTGGCCCCGGTGAATTTTGCTTTGACGCACTCAGCGCGCTCCGTCGTGAGTCCAGCGCTGTCGAGTGGCCCATGGTTCTGCTCGCCTTCTGTGAACCCCAGCCGCCATCCGGAAACGATCTCTTGACTGGCCGCCTCCCGATTGCAACCCTGACCTTGCCCCGTGTGTGCAGAGAACGAGCCATTACATTTTTGAATCTCGCAAACCGCTCTCGACTGTGGCGCGAACGCGCGCGAGGCCGATCCAAGCCGACCGGAGCAAGTGGAGCCTGCTATGCCACACACCGCAAGGCCTACTCTTCCTCGTATGGCGGAATGGTGTAGCCCCGCATACCTGCCTTGTTCCTGTACCACCATTCTTTCGACGCCAGGTAAACCGACGGGCGATGCGGACAGCTGCTGTACTTCTCTCGCTCTCCAGGCACACCAATGCCGTCCAGGACGGGTTAAGTTGCGCTGCTGTCATTTGCCGAGGACAAAGATACTCCGCCGCTGCCGGCAGATCATCGTTCGCCAGCACATCATGCATCGATCCGGCACAGCCTTATACTGGAGGACACCCTGGGTTGAATACACCGCCTAGGTGGTGGGAGGCGGAGAGGGGAAAAAAAGGAAAAAAAAAAGAAAAAAAAAAAAAGAAAAAGGAAGCATCTAGTTTCCCCGACAGATCGTATGGGTACCTCGCATGGCTGTACTGGAGGATGCTTCTGCGGAAATGGAATCCTAGGGGAGTTCTCAGCAGCTGGCACTGACTGACATCAGCACTTTCTGGTCGACAATTATCTGGCAGCGGCACGCCGGCCTGTGGGCGCCTGTCCGACGTACTGGGAAAGTCAAGGGCCTCGATTTCGCAACTCAAATCCTTGACAGGCTGGACTCCCGTTCAATTATGATGTGTATGCTGGGGTCTAACCCTGCCTTTGCATCTGCAGAAGGTGGCGCATCCACACCCTGGGCTGTGCGCTGGTCATCCAAAGTATCACGCAAAACAAAAATCCTGCCTCACGATTCCCGCACGCTGAGGTGTTCTTTTCTTTTCTACTCTTCATCGATCCCAACACAGTGGCTAGGACTCCAGGTGTGCTGACGCATGCCATTGGGTGCACTATGTTTCGACCCTGGTCTTTTTCGCCGTTGGGCTGATCGTGAAGCTCCATCGAATGCGACCATTAAGGAAGCAGAACGTCAGATTCGGCACTTCTTTGGCCAGATACCTTGGGCATATCACCTTGTCCGTTTAGATAGCCACCCATATACTGACCAGAGCACGTTCTCATCTCTCCCAAATTAGCCTCCGATCACCGACGCAATCACTCTTGATCATTGTGGCTTTTTTGATACTATTCTCTGCAGATTCCCCACATCGTCATCAACCCATTCTTGTTGATAGGGGGTTCGCCTGTGTCTTGTACCTTGCGGCTCCTTAAGCTTATCATCCTGCATCTGCGCTGTTGCGCAACCCCAAGTCACGACATTCTTACATACGCGTTCTCTTCCACGTCTCCGGCCTTGCAGAACTACCAGCCTCGTCATCCCTTTTCTTTTGATGCTGCAGTGCTCTGAAACAAACTTTTGGCACTGCTGTTGTTGAACGTTGCCTACGCAGCCGTCACTTCTGACCCTGTCACCCGACCTCTTTCACTGCTGACCTCACGAGCACTTCGGTGTGAACAGAGTTCTGCACCTCTGGAGCATTTGTCCGTCGCAGCAGAATCATCGCCTTGGATGATTGTCACGACGCGCAGATCATCAGGCAGTCCAGGCCTGACTTGCTGGTCGAGCATAAAAGAGCATCGGTGGAACGGAGGCACAGGTCTCCCACCCACATCACGGCTCACTCCTCGTCACGAAGTCCGGGCTGGACTGTAACAGCTCAGCCCATCAACCAGCGTCGTGGATATCTCACGGCTTCTCGAGTCGCAAGACTCGGAGCCTCCGGGCCACCGACAGCGAGGCGCGGACACGGCCAGCTCGCCGCGCCCTTACGCTTTGGCGCCGGTGAGCTACAGCGGTCCAAGATCGCTTCCGGCGTCGACGCCTTTGTCCGGAGGTCCCGTTGGTCCCCCAACACAGCTGCCACCAGTCTCGTCTCTGCAAACTGCACCTCCGCTTCTTCACCCGCTGCCGCCGATCCATCAGCGGCTTCCGTACCCCCAAGAGCACCCCCCGTACAGTCAACCGGTGCAACCGTACTATCATGGCTCACTTCCGACTCCTCACCATGTTCCGTCTCCTCATCCGGGCTACCACGGCAGCCTGCCGCCTTTGACGGCGCCGCCTGTCTCTGGACCGATCGAAATCCACTCGGTCAGCGTGCCTGCAAAGCGCAACGCCCCTTCTTCTGCTGGGGAATCGACCGGGCCACCGGAGAAGAAGGGCAAGTGGACACCGGAAGAGGACCAGCTTGCGATCGAGCTGCGAAGGACGGGCATGAAGTGGGATGACATCGCGAAGCGTCTGCCCGGACGAAGCGCGATCAGCTGTCGCTTGCGATATCAGAACTACAGCGAAAAGCGACAGGACTGGGACGAGGAGAAGAAAAACAAGTTGGCTAGGCTCTACAACCGGTACGTGCTTCTTCTTCTGCTGCAGCTGCGCCCGTAACAAGTGTACGGCGTTTAGGCGTGGTGGTCTCCTTTTAGTTTTTTTTTTTTTTTTTTTACAACGTCCAACTGACACGAATTGCTTTCTTAGATTCAAACAGCAGATGTGGGAAATGGTCGCCAAAGAAATGGGCCTACCGTGGCGAGCAATCGAGGGCATTCATTGGGAGATGGGCCGGGAAGAAATGGCATCGCGCGCGAACGTGCCGGTCTTTCAACCGCACACGACCTCGGCCACCACGCAGCGCCGCTCGCCTCCCGGCGTGAGATCAAATCCGAACTTGGCGCCCGCACCTACACCACCGGGCGACAGCGCAGGCGAGCAGCCGCACGCATCGCAACCCGTGCGTGCGACCCGCGCGAGGAGTACAAGTTCTGGGAGTCGCAGGCGTGCCAATGCCCGCAGAGATCCGCCGTCGCAGCTCGCGTCGGTCTCTGAGGGTGAGCAGAAGCGTCCGTCGGTGCAGGACACGAGCCCGAGCTACGTGACGGACATTCCAAATACACCAGCGTCATCCGTTGAATGGAACGGCTCACCAGCAGTAAGGCCCACAGCCGACGAGCGACTTCCGCCGCCTACGCCTCCTCGCAAACGCAGACGTTCTGACTCTCAGAATAGTTCCGATGCTCCCTCACTTCATCCTGCTCCACCAACCGCGCTCCCCCCTCCGCCATCTGCCCCCTAGCTGTTGGCTCAACGCTGCACTGCCTTCACGCATGAAGCTGTCGCGCGACTTCGACATACTCTGGCGGATATCTGTTCTGTACGACATAATCTTGCATCCACCACATCCTTCCGATCACGAGGCACCGATATCCCATAGAGCAGCGGCACACTCCATCACGCATTTGGTCACGTTTGTACTTGTTTTTATTTTGATCTGATAAAACTTGAAACCTCGTTTTTGATTTTGATAGGCGGCGAGCCGGACCACTTGGATCATCAAGGGTCGGCATTCTGCGAGCGTTTTAGCGATCTTCGTGATTCATATGCATGAAAAATAAAAAATTTTTGTGTTATAGCAAGTACACTTCTTCCCGCAACGAGCTACAAGAGACACCGGGCAGGCGGGAGCGTGTTTGGTATTTCGCAACGGTTTAGCAAATCAACACTGACGATTAGATGATTTGAGTTTTGTTTGGGTCCTTGACGATGGCTGACGGCAGAGCATTGATATTTGTACCATTAGCGACGATAACGAATTGAATCTTATGCCCTTTTCACGACGCCCCGGCCCTCAGCTGCGTTCTTCCCCAGTCGCCTGCCCCCTTCGCATGAAAGCCTCCAAGCGGCCAATACGCCCCCGCGAGCCAATCGGAGTCTCTAAGAGCGTGCCAAAGGACTCGACGTGCTTGCGGCTAACGGGCAGAGCCCTTTCAAGATACTTTGTACGGTACGAAAATAGCATGTGACGTGATTTGCTCAAAAGGCCGTCCAAGGCCGTCCAAGGCCACGCGCTGTATTTTGAATGCATTTTTTTTTTTTTTTTGAAAATCTTCCACAAGTTGGCCGCGTTTGTCCAGCTGGAGCAGCTCCACGAAGCACGCCGCCCCTCCCCTTCACCCCGTCCGTCACGACGACGGGAGCAGAGGGAGGACGTGTTTGGAGCATTTGGCATGGGGCTTTTTTTTTTCTTGTGCCGCAATCGCTTTCCCGATCTTCGTCCGTGCACACTCGATCTGGGGGCGCAAGGTTCATTGGCGACTTGTTCTTTTGGAACGCAAAATTCCTGTTCCCTCTTTTCTTTCATTCTTCTTTCTTCTCTCCTCCTTCCTCCTCTTCTTTTTGTTTTGTTTTTATTTTTCTCTCGCCCTTTCTTTTATTTTGAATCAATAGGCCTCCTGGGCGCTTACCTGCTTTTGGCCCCGATCGGGCCAAATAGAGCGCCACCGCGTGTAATAAGAGAGTCCTCGTGATAGCAAAGGTGCGAGACGGAGCCACTACCACTACCGTACAGTAGCACACTTTTTTTTCGCCCCTCCCGCGAGTCAAGCAGGGAATTTTTCATTTCCACAGTTCCCGCGGGGGGAAATCGATTGTTGACGTCTGCTGCGCCATGTCGACCGCGAAGCATAAACACCCGCTCAGATGGGCTTGGCGCTACAAAAATTGATTTTGTGGCTCTACGGCATGTCTCAGTGCACTGATCGTTCGACGAAGCTCGCCCGGGCCGAAACGTCGAGACTTGGTGCTTCGCCCGTCACCTTTAAGCAAAGCTGGGGGCTGCTAGAATCTGTCAGGCCGGTTTGCAATCCACGGCGAACCAGGGCAGGCTTTGCTCTGGCACCGAGCCATCCACGAGCACGCTCCGAGAGGACGGGAATCAATCTTTGCCAATACTTGGAGAGGGAAACGTCTCGTCCCGCAGGCTTCGAAACAGATGCACTGACCTTTCACGCCCCAGGCTAACCAGTGGTCGTTCAAGTCGGACTAGGAACGGCACGAGAATGGGCAGTCATGCCCTCCTCGCCCCCCCCTCCCTAGAAGTATTGGTACTCCACAGTTCCCTCCGGCCCTCATACCGTATTCGTCATCCTAGGGCGACTGCAGCAAGCAGGCGCTCTCCATCCGGGAACAAAAGACCACTTTTCTGGAGACTCTGCGGCCTCTTGGGCGCCCGCTTTGCCACCCTGTCACCTTGGTCACGGTGCAACGCGGCTTTTCAGCATTACGCAGGAACTTCGTTGAGCTTTCATGTGTGCTTTCTGCGCCAGACGACTGCCGACCAGGCTCGTCTTGAAGTAGTATATCCTTGTCGTCAACTGGGCCTTTCGATATGCACGCCGATTTCTAATGTTTTCGCCTCGCCTCTGAGCACGTCCTCCGCTCCGTCTATTTGTGATACAGAAGTGATAGATGCTCCCGGCTGCTTGGAGCCATGAGGTTTTGTCATGGTGCTCCTGATAGCCGGCAGCCCATGTCGTGAGAGTGTACATTATGTAGATATGTTCGTGTATGCTCATCATATGTACCTCTACTTGTGAAGATGTACCAACCAACCATCTGTCTGTCAAATTTGTCGACGTACTATCCTCCGTGAAGCTTGGAGCAGCAAGAGTCGTCTCCGGCGTAGAAGATCAACAAAGGCGCCCAATGTGGGTTTCAAATCATCGACCAGAACCAATGCAGCCATCATCACACGATATTTGCCGTCAATTGGCGGCCACCTGCCTGCACAGAAGATTGAGCACCTCATTCGACTTTCACGGTACATCGGCTATCCCTGCTCTTGATACCGCAGAAAATATCCAGCTTCAATCATTTTCTGCTGAAAAACCTAGGCCTCTTACGCACCGTCGTGGACTGGCTCCACCAATCATGGCTCTACACATCATACACTCGTGGGCGACGACGAGATCGCAAACTTGTTGAGGTTCGCGCAGAATGGTATAATGCCTGTTCCCTGACGGAGTTCAAGAACAGGGCGACATCTTCAATGTATTCTTGAGCTGTGTATTCGTGCATTCGCCAACCCCCTCCAGGTCCCAAGTCAACAAAAAAAATTTTTTTTTCTTTCTTCTTTTCTTCTTTGAATGAAGCATCCGACAGAGATGACACTCCCAAAACTTTCTTGACCTTGCTGAACCGTGTATCCTTTGCGACTCATTGCTTTTCTAATCTTGTTGAAGCTGCTTGGGATCCTGAGTGAGCTGGTGAAGTGATTGCCTCTCTCCATACTTCCAGCGCGCTTCATGGGAGCTCCTCGATCGTCCACGTCGTCTTCAAGGTACATACGTACGATCCTTTCTTAGCACATTTGTAAGCCGACATGGCTTAGGCAGTGACCACACAGGACGAATGAAGAGAAAAAAAAAAACCTCTCGTTTTGTCGCCTGAACACTTGACTGTGGATTGGCTAGTCAATTCGCACACACCAAGCCAAACTATGCAATATTTGAAAAGCTTTACAACCTGCCTCGTAGCCGCTACATCCTGTTTCGACGCCATGAATGATTCTAATCTCACCCTGCTCTTGTGAACTTGACAAAGACCAGGTCGCCTTAAGAGTCTTGAATTCCTCTAGCTTGATCTCGTCAGGACAGTTCCGTTCGCAGATCTCGGCTCTGGCAGTCTTTTGTTCTCACCCGTTCGCTACCGATCGATCTGGACCTGGCTCCACAAGCAGGCAGCTTGTTTCTTTGAAGGCACGTTGCAGCTCCCGTGCTGCGTCCCCAGGCCCCAGCGTTGCTTGGTAACACATTACCACAGCCAGGTTCCCACCTCGTAGACCACGACGTGTACTCTACGTGGCCCAACGTTCTCTGCGGAGCGAAGACTGCGCCCTATTTCAGACACGTGGGGCGTCGAGGTAAGGCAAGAGAAAGAACTTGTTACCTGCTGTTGAGCCGTTTCCAACGAAACATAACCAACGTAGCGTATGCTTTTGTCGAGAGCTAGAAAGATTTGAACTAGGCACCACGCTACGTGCATATCGACCAAACCGCAGGGGTATCAAGGCCCTACGATAAATAAAATCTTTTTTTTTTCCTTTTCCGGGTGTTGTAACGTGCACAGCGAGCTCGAGTACCAACGCTTCGTGTCTGCGGATATGCGCATTCTGCGTTTGATATCAAGATGCTCGTCCAAGTAAGTGCTCCTAAACGAGTAGCTATCCACACCGTTGCTCGTCGATCTCGACGTTTCACCGAGAAGTCACGTTGCAGAATCACTTTGGAGGCCTTTCGCCTTGCTTGCGCGACTTGAGTATCTGTAGTCCTACGAATCCCAAGTGTTTCATCGGAGTTTGTCTACCCTCGCCCAGCGGATGGAATAGGTTTTCAAATGCTGAAGCCCGAATTTATGAACAGTTGGGTTGCACATCGCAGGGACGTTCATCTGTATGACTTGGCATCCCCTAGACAATACTACGTGGCTGTTCAGAAAGAAATCCGGGACTTTGGATGATGAGCAACGCTCGGCTTTCAGAATCGGAATCTTAACTTGCTTCGTGCGGAATCGATTAATGCGCCGAAAATCCCCAAAACGCTTTCGGAAGCATGATAGTGAAATTCGATAAGCTTTGGTTTTGCAACACGATGCCGTTTGAAGATTGAATAGAAATTGATTGGTTGACAGCAACGCAGCATCCTCGCTCCTGGAATTACCACTCTAGCAAAGTAGATGCGTAGAGATGCAAGTAAACTATGCAAGCACATGGGGTATAATCTCTCCTTCCCTGTCTTGAACCTCGTAGAACTCCAAAATTAGGGATCTTCACCCCCACTTTCAAAACGATGGCGATAGATATGCGCCGGTGAAACCAACTGGACTCAGACTCCCTATTCACATCCATCACTTCCTGGCACCTCCACCGACCGCAATCCTCTGTCTTCCCAGCCAACTTCTAGGAGGTTCTTGTCTCCGTGCGAGCATAACGGTGTTACTCTGCAGCCTACTCGTGAGGTCATACCAAGCGCTAGCCATCAGCTTATTCTCCCGCCTCAGAATCTCAAGTTCTTCCTTAGTTTCTTTGGCAAGTTCACTTGATGGAGCTGTGGCGGCTGCTTTCCGCGCTTTCTCGAGGTCAGAAGTCAAGGACTTCAGTTTTCCCTCGTTCTCCTTGATTATCTGCAAAACAGTTAACTCTCATGAACGAAGATTCCGATAGTTCTAAGAAAGCATACCTTCTCCTTCTGTGCGACAAGATCGCGTGTGGATTCTATCCTATCTGTTAGACTGAGCGCAGAGTCTTCGACCACCTTCTCCGCTCCAGCGGCCGGTGCAGCTCGCACGGCCTCAAGCTGCTGCCGAATGATCCTATATTCTTCTGCCTTCCGCAATTCCTCTGGTTGCTTGACAAGAGATTCCGCACTCAACAACGCGTGGCGAAGAAGAGATCTGTGCTCTCGTAATTGAGTTTGCAGTTCCTCGATGTATTTCTGCCTATCCCTGTTCTGGGCTATGGCCGCATCGGTGCTGGTTTGACGTTCGCCATATGCTAGCACAACTGTTAGCGATAAGAAAGGCAATGGAGCCTCATTTCAAGTACCTTGCGACTCGCTCATTTCCAGTAATCGTCTCAGATCCGCAGCCTCTGATACGGCAGCCGTATATTTCGCAAGCACATCGTCCATCTCTTTTTCTAAGCTCTCTAGTCTCTTCGTCTGGTGCTCAAATGGATGTTCGGACTTCCCGTCTCCATCTTCAAGCACGGCTTTCAAACCGAGGTTCTCCTGTAGAAGATCAAGGCACTTTTGCTCCAATCTAGCAATGCTAGCAGTTGCTATCGAAAGGTTCTGTTGCAAAACGATGTTGTCCGCGCTCTGCACGGGTGCTAAGCTACGTCGTTTCGCGGCCTTTTCAGCGGCTAGACTTGCGGCGGCGGCGGCTGCCGCTGACCCAGGTTCAGCGTTCAACTCTGCGTCCAAGTCCAGATCCCCTGTGTCATCTCCATCTCCATTGACCTCTCGACCCTTGTCCTCGAGCTCGCGAATAGTTTCCTGTGCGGTGGCAAGCATTTCGCGTGTTTGCTCAAATCTCTGTCCCAGCACCTTAAGTTCGTATTTGAGCTGCTCTTTGGCGGTTTTTTGGTCAAAAATCTCCTGTTCACCGTTCGCTATGGTTTTTGCATTTTCCTCATTAGCCTTTTCAAGCGCAGCACAACGCTCCCGCAAACGGTCCATCTCCGCGAGCTGTTCTTGCAGCCCCGCCATATCCCGTCGCATATTGGCATTGTTTCGTTCTTGTTCTTGGAGAGCTTGAATTTTCTTTTTGAGGTTTTCATTTGCTTTAGCTTTCTGCCGTAATTCGTCTCGTTCGGCTTTGGTAACCTGGAGCTCATCGCGTAGCTCTTGTTTGCTCTGCGCGTCAAGTCTGAGACGCTCAAGTTGTCGCTGCTGGTTTTCCATTGTGGTGTTCGCCTCAGCAAGGTCAGTTTCTAATTTAGCAATGTAATCTCTGTCCCGATCAGCTTGTATATTCAGCGCTTGAAGGCTCTCCTCATCCATAGTTGTCCGCCGCCTACGGTCCAGGCCAAATTTGGACTCCTGAAGTTCGTCCTCAAGGGCTCTCCGCTTCTCCTCCGACTCCCTGAGATCATCTTCCAGATAAGCCAGTTTCTCTTCTAGCTTGCGCTTCTCTTGCAGGGCTTGTATCAGCTTTTCCTCTCGCTCCAATTCGGGATCCCGCTCATATGACGTCCGCGGCCTCTCCCCTGCCTCCTCTGCCTCATAATGATCCACTTCAGACGTCGATGTCTCTGTCTCCGCCCCAGTACCGCCCTCCATCTCCCTCATCTTCTCATCCAGATCCTCCATCTCTTGTATGGCTTCTGCAATTGCTGACGCGCCCTTCAGCCCGACTTTTTCAACGATAAGAGAGCGCTGGTCCGACTTCTCTGAGTACATGCCCACCAGGAGCACGGCCTTGACCAGCTTGATAACATTTTCTGGAGAACCATCTGTAGCGACGGCTTTAAGGTCTGGGTTAAGCACTTTGCTAAGGTAGTGTAGGGAGTCGCATTCGTCGCGAATGTATGTTGCGATCAGTCGGTCGATGTGCTTGAGATTCTGCCATCGTGGGATCCAGTTGTCGGTTGAGTCCTTTTGCTTCCGATCGATCTCGGGAAGAGAGCCATGGAAATACTCTGGATCTATTTCGTCTGCAGCATGAATTGTGTTAGACTTTAGGCTCCCAAATCCTGCCGCGCGGAGTGAACACGTGGGGGGTGTGGTGAATCCTTACGAAGTATCCTCCACAAGATTTCACCGTCCTCCAGATCCTGCCATGTTTGAACCTTGTTTGGAATGTCGAATGAATTCACCTGTCGAACGTATCAGTTGGCTGTTGGGGACGCTGTGCTACATATGAGGATATGTGTCCGCACCCACTGTAGCAGCGCCGAAGCGAGCTCAGTCTCCTGGGGTTTCGTATCCATCAGGAAATGACAAGCCCAACGCCGTTGTTACGTTGCTGTGTTCGACGGAAGAAGCTGCAGGCTTCGCTGTTAAGCATCACGTTGCATGAAGAAGGGCATGATTTGCATGCGAGGTGAACGATACATGCACTGTTGAACGAAGCAAGGGAGAAGGTCCGGCGACACGGCTTATACAGATTCAAGATCGAGGCGTTTTGTCGGGAACAAGCCAAACAGCAGCCAGCTAATCCGAAATGATACAGCAACTCGAGTCATGGACGACGCGCAGGAGCCTCGCGTGTCCCGTGCATTCATGCGGCGTTGGCCTCAGCTCGGCGAGCTGCGAAGCTTTGCTGCCTCAGGCTTCCTTTAAGGGCCGGCGTTTCACAGGTTGAAAACGCATAACTTAAGTGAGTGAACTTATGCAACTCTACGAGGACGACGCTGGGGACACCTTGCAAAGGACCGGCGGATCCCGCTCTGAACCAACATTTGCGGCGATGAAGGTGTGCGAGGGCTTTAAACAAGAAGACTACTTTCGTAAACCTCGACCGTGGCCATCGCCTTGCGATCCCTCAGCATTGACAATTGATAGCGGAATTGCGGTGTTAAACCTGGCTTGCAGAGCGCCAAGAGACGATATGTATGCATCCGTCGCAGGAAAATCGTCGCAGTGTCGAGGTCAGATCATAACTACTGCCGATGCCCAGGACCAAAATCAGTCTCTTATGGCGCAGCTCGCCCTCAAAGTCTATGCCACGCAAAGGGCATTAAAGTGAGAGATGGTCAAAAATGGGTCGGTCAAAGTTTGATCTTGCTATTTCTTATGCGCAATTGATAGTCTCGAGCTATTCTATCGCACTCTCCGATGAGCGCTTCGACGCGAGTCTAAATACCGCGGCCAATACTGGTGGAAAGACAGATCGGCTCAGCTAAATGGCCATGCTAGCTTGTTTTTGTCCTTCTGTATCTCTCTTTCATAAATTCTTCAACAGTTGGGCCTTTCCCGTCTCCACTGCCGTCTAGGGGCTCAAGGACGTAGTCGACGTTCCCGTCGAAAAAGAAAGGCACGGAATACCTATGCGTGCCGCTCCGATTGATGACCCGATGGACGTTGCTTCTGTACTCTCCCTTCGTCCAAGTATCAAGCATGTCTCCGACATTCACCACATAGGCGCTTGGATTGGGCGGCACATCGATCCACTCGTTGGTTTGCTGATTCAACACCTGCAAACCGCCATTTGCATCCTGCATAAGAAGTGTTATAGCGCCAAAGTCCGTGTGGGCCCCTGCACCCAGCTGGTCTTTGTCGTCAAGATTTGGCTGGGGTGGATAGTGCAATAGCCGGATATTTGCGATTGGATTCGTGGCAAACTTGTCGAACGTATGCGCGTCACAGTAGGGGAGTCCCTCGGCAAGGATCTGCAAGATCTTTAAGGAAAGTTCAGCAAGGAGTGATTGATATTTTAAGAGTGGAGTTTTGAACTTTGAAGGGTCGATCAATGACGAAGGTGGCCAGATATTTGGATGCTGGAAATCGCGAAAGGGCGGCCGCACGTTGGGGGCAAGATCGGGTCCTACAAAGTAACCCTAAACGCTAGCCATTTAATCGAGGTGAGCAGGTCTCCACGAATAAAGCATACCTCTTTCAGATCTGGCTTAGCCCCCGGCTGAAGTGTTTGTCCCCCAAGGATTTCGTAGCCTCTGCCATTTTTACCGAGCAGTTCAATCTTCTCTTCGGTGGAAAGGCTGAAGACTAGTTCAGCAGCCTGAAATACTTCTTGCTGCAACTCTGCTGGAATACCATGACCCGTGATCTGGAAGAAGCCACTTGTTCTACATGCATGCCGAACTTGTTGAATCACATCTCTTGCCTCCGACGAGCCTGAGTCCTCCAGATAGTAGGATACATCTACAGTAGGAATGGAAAACTGAGGGTCTTGCATTCTGTTTCGGTCAAGAAGATCAGAAGCGTGGTAGCAAGAGCGAATAATTTGGATGTTAGTAGTATTCACCACGGTCCTTATAGATAGTCTCGGAACCGTCGAAATCTCTCGCTTCATAAATTTGCCCGAGATATCGGTGAGATTTCGACAACTGGGGACCGAAGTAGCGAGATCTTGCGGCCGAGATAGATAAGTGTTTCCTGCATTCCATCATCGGCCGTCTCCGAACCACGTGATTATAATTCGCGATTTCGCTGCAGAAAGGGATTCTTTTTCTGTAAGCGAGAACTTTTCTTCGTGTGGAAAGACTTTAAAATATCGATTCAATTCTGACCGCTGATATCAGGTTGATGATTTAGGACGATGCGTGTAAATTCAACTCGCTCTGTACAGCATAATATTTCAAATAGAAATTCAGCCATTCGTGTCGTAAAATTTGCATTCAAAGTACGTTAAGAGCAGTACATGTAAATATGTCATAGATTCGAGCCGGTTTGATTCTATACCCTGGACGCAGTTCTAGGTAAAATCGTAAACCGCAAGGGCCTGGACTCTTTCTACGCCTCTCTCCTTCAGGAGAACCACATTCTCCTCATCAAAGCCAATCCAACCCCTTGCGACGTTCATCTCACCCATTTCATCAGTCCCCTGTGAGACCGATTGCGGTCCGGTGTCACATCTGGGGTTTACGTTGATTGAACCTTCAACGTTTGTGCGCATTGAAGAGGACAAGGAAAATGATGGTGCTTGCACCCGCACGCTAAGTTCAGAGTTTGTGGGTCGCCGTCTTCCAGTGGTGCCTTCAAGTTCCCATATTCGTAACTCATCACCTCTTGTAGTGACCGATACTGCCTTGCCACGGCCTCCCACATATGCGCCGGAGACCGAAGAGGTATGCCCCCACAATCTGTGGCCCGCACTTATAGACAGAGAACGATCGGTAGAGGTGACCAGGTACAACGTCAATGTGTTGTCCGGGTGCGAGAGCAGGAGATAGGGATGCGAGTAAGACAGTGATGTAGGCTTTGAATAGCCCGGCGTAGCCGCACTAAAGGACGGCGAAGGACATGGTGACCCAGTTCGCGAAGGGGAAAGCGAAGCGGGAAGAGATGCAGACGATCTAGCAGACGGACTGATTGAGGTGGCGAGCCGAGAGTCTAAAAGAATTCCTTCGAGGGACAGCCACATTTCCTGCACGCCCACAGTCCAGCCTGACACAAACGTCGGGATCGCATAGGCAATCGTTGCAATAATGTTTTGCGATGAGGGGCGAATGCTTAGCGAGAGGGGTGACCACGTTGTGTGAGACCGCAATGAATGCAAGAGCCGCGGTTCGCCGTTGGCACCCTCGAATTTGTACAGCGAAAGCAGCTGCGCGGCCGTCAGGGTAACAAGGTAAGGAGAGCAGAGAGCCACCGTGGAGAGCATGCCATTCGACGACGCAGAATGCTTGTACTTGCACGTGAGGCTGCAGTTGCGCCGGTCGAAGATGAAGATGGCGAAGCTTCCGTCCTCAAATCCAACAGCGATCTGGTGAAGATCATCGACGTTGTCCAAGAGAGAGCCATCGGGACTGGTAGTATCAACTGCCAACGCGGTAGGTGGTGATCCTGTCGGAGGGAGATCTGTCTTTGCCAACATGCCTCGCTGATTCTTCGCGGAGCTCCAGGCACGCAGACCGCCAACGGCGTCAACCGTATACACAATGCTGTTATGCATCCGCGCTATAAGTGGAGGAGGGGGAAGCTGCTCAGCGACCAAAATTTCGTCAACTGCACACACACCATGCGTCCAGTTGTGCCGTAGCTTGTACTGCCGCTTCCAGTCTGTCTCGCTCCCCTGTTTGACGAGACTGTGATCGTCTAGCCATCTCGAAGGCTTGGACGAAGACCGCCCGAACTCATCTGGCTCAGACGAGGGAGCCGGACCGTGCGGGTTGGCGATCATGGCAGAGCCTCTCATGCCGGGTAACCGCAGCACCCTGGGCCGTACGAATCTGTTGTAATATAACGCCTTCCAAAGCTGAGAGTCGGCTGCTATGCTCTTGAATTTTCGCGACAGGCGCTGGCACTTGTTCAGGTCGATGATGGAGAGGAACGACAGAATTCGCAGGAGCACCTCGTCGCTCAGCATCGATAGCCTGTCTCTTCTGCTGCAGGCCGCTGCTGTCGCTCGCGCTCGCTTGGTGCAGCGACCAGCCTCTGGGCTTCGTTCAAAGTCCTTTTCGCCGTCGCGAGCTCGTTTCGTCATCTTCTACGTATTCTGTCTCATCCCGCGGCCGGTTATGAAGATCGAACAAGGGTGAAGATTAGTCAACGGACTGAACAGTGTCGCCGACGTTCAAAGCTCTGGATACACCGCCAGCGACAGTCGATGCGTGCCTCGCGCTAATTAACTCCAATCAATGCGGAGCCGAAAGGTCGGCGCATTCGGCTCAGGTCCCTCGTTACCTAAAACGCTTTAGCGTGCAAGTGCAGCCTCAATCTCCGCCATGTACTTCTTCAACTTGATCGATGGCGTTTCGCCGGTCGCCTTCGCCGGTCTAATAATTGCTCCACGGTGTGTAAGGCACGCAACGCCTTACCTTCCTCATGGCACAAGTGCGATTCTTCACTCAGACACCTTGTGCTTATCTACAATTCAATTTGCCTGATTTGGACACCATCGGAGTTAACGGCGGTAGCGAAAGTGGGGCATAGACATGTATATCAGCCTTTCCCCAAGCACATGTTCCTGATCCCATATTCTAGATCCATGCGTCGAAGTCGCATGAACCGTCGTACAAGACCTGCAAAACTTCAGCTTGCTTGATTTCTAACAAATGTCCTGCCCTAACTGCTTTAGCGGTCACGTCAACGCGGCTACTCCGAAGGGGAGGGAGGAGAAGGTGTTCGACCGTGATTGTTACATCGCCGAGCCTGGAGAAGGCAAGGCCGTCAAAGGAATCATCGTCATCATCTCAGATGCCTTTGGCTGGCAGTTCGTCAACAATAGAATCCTTGCCGACCACTATGCAACACGCGGCGATTTTAAGGTCTATCTTCCCGACTTCATGGACGGTACTTGAGATCTCACACGGCAGGGTAAAGTCCAACCAACTGACAAGAATGCACTCATAGGCACGGCTGCGCCCATTTCGCTGTTGACGACGACAAACAAACTGCTGGAGGACAAATCCCTCATTGGCTGGCTCAAGAAGCCCTTCCAGGTTGTGTCTCTCCTATCTGTCGCAGCCCCTTATATGATGAGCAACAGCTTCCCGAAGTCCTGGCCGAAGGTTACCTCGTTCTTTCAAGCTCTCCGCGACAGCGAAGAGGGCAAGAAACTGCCTATCGGCGCAGCTGGTTTCTGCTGGGGTGGCAAGCACACCGTGAACCTCTGTCACGGCTTTCGAACTCCCAGCGGTGTCAATCTGATTGACGCGGGTTTCACCGCTCATCCATCAAACCTGTCCATTCCCTCAGAGATTGAGAAATTAAAATTGCCTTTGAGCATTGCCCAGCCAGAAAAAGATATGGCTGTCAGTGTGACACAGTATGAGACCATCAAGACGACTTTAGCAAACTTGAAAAAGGAAGAGGGTCTGGAGAGCGAAGTCGTCGAATACAAAGGGACGACGCATGGATTTGCCGTGAGAGCAGATGAAAGCAAGGATGAAGCCAAACAAGCCGAACAGGCAGAGGATCAGGCTATCAAGTGGTTCCAGACCCAATTTGCCAAAGTTGAGAGGTGATGCATGAAGTCACTGCCTTTTTGGAAAGAAATTTTTAGGATTTGGTGTAGTTTTGATTCGTATTTCTTTTTCTAATTTCACGCGATTCGAGTGTCAGGAGTACTATCTACGAAGATATACCATATTCTTGTCGATCTGCTTCTCAGATCAAGTTCGGATATCAAAAATTCAAGTTTTATGCTGCCGGACGCGATGAGCATGGTTTAGTCTTAGCTCCGAATCTAAAGCAAGTTCGGGTCGTTTTCATGTTGGTTATTCGAAAATCCCTGACTGTCAGTTGAAGAAATTAATATCTTGAGCAAAGCCATCACCATGGAGTTTCAGAAGGTTACCCATCTTTTGAACCAAAAACACTCACATGAAATTGAACTTCTTTCGTGATAGATGAACATCTCAAAGGTCTCAAATCTTGCAATTGAATTTCTTAACTATGGCCGCCTGCTTTTGAGATATTCCAAACAAAGCTTAGTCATGCAAACTTCATCTCTCGCAGAACCATGGGACTATGCTGTTGACAGCTGATATAGCTTGAGCAACCGTCGTATGTCAGCGCAAGGTAGGTTCTCAATCTGCTAAAGTCTTAATCAGTTTTGCCGCACTCTCAAGTCTTTCTCCAACATAACAAATCCCAAGTTCGCAGGCAACGATTCAATTGGGTGGATATTCGCAGGAAATGGTATGACGACACCCGTCCTGGAATATCCGTTGCGCTCATACCACGATATGAGCTCGCGACGGTTTGACAAAGCGTTCAACTCCAGCTTTCTGACGCTGTTCCACGTTCTTTGTGCGTATTCCTCTGCATATGCCAAGACTTTGCGTCCGATGCCTCGCTGCTGATATTCCTTCGCAACAACAAACCAAGCAAAACGTGCCACATCTGACGACTTCCTTGCGATATTGAAGCAGGCAACAACGGAATCACTGAGTGAATCTTCGCGTGCGATGAGAATCGCCCCATCAGGGTTGATAAGCTCGGCCTGGAGAGCTTTGAGGTCCATGGTGAACGTTGCATTGAGCTGAGGAAGATCACCCGTCCAGCCAGGACGTGTGTCGGAGGCGCGGAATCCTGCTTCGACGAAGGATTGGAGCATACTGGCATCGTATATTGTGGCTTTACTGTAGGACAAAGAGAAATCGGCCATTGCGGAGGCTGAGTCTGGGTCAGCGTAGAGGAAAGGATGAAATTTGCACCTAAGTGATAGAAGACAAGGAGTGGTCATGCATCAAGGGAATGCACGAATATTTCAAGACCTTATCTTTTCTGTTGTTCTATATACAAAGGGCGGCAAAAGGGCGCATGCATGTAAAGTGTAGAGGTAGGGCGCAGTGTTCGACAATAGAGCGTAGAATAGCAACCTTCCTATTCGAGAAGATTAGAAGAGGGGCATCTCAAGTACTATGCTTCCTTTTGAAACAAGAATTTATTTAAAGTCAAAACTCGGTACATTTGTCTGCCGCTCATATCAAGCATGAGGATCTTCTGTGAAAGATGTTCTAACTTCTACCATTACTCTGTTCCGAAAATTAGGGTAGAGCTGGACCCTAATCCTAGACTCTCCGAGATCGGCCGAAAAAAGTTGTTCTGCTAAACATACACGATTCGTGAGGGAACTGGTGCCGTCTTCAGGGCTCCTTAAGATGATCTTTTTGTTATGAGCCATGCCTAAATTCGTTCCTCGCGAGCGCAAGCACAAGAAGCTCGCAAGACAGAAAGATGCGGAACAATCAATTCACGACGCTGCCTCAAAAGCAGCTGGCGCGAACACCGATCATGAGCAGCTGCTGTCAAAGAAGGCGGCGCTCAAGCAGGAGCTTGCAACTCCAGCAATGAGTTCGAAGAAGAGGAAGAGGCTGGATAAATATATCGAAAATAAGCTGAGACGGGAGGAGACTCTTGCCTTGATTAAGAGACTGGAGCAGCGCCAGAAGGATGGGTTGGATCGCAGCGCATTGATGAGTGCGAAGGTGCTGGGAAGGAGAGGAGACGCTAAGAATGACAGAAAGAAGTCGCGAAGAGTGGAGGAAGAGAGCGCTGGGGAGAGCGAAGAAAGCGAAGAAGACGAACGTGACCAATTCGAAGTACCCAACGCCAGAAAGGATGAGAAGCTGGATGGAGACGAGTCGGTTTCTCCCGTGGCACCACCGTCGAAACAAGAGGCAGATCCAGGTTTTGGTAGCGGCTTGAAAAGGCCGTTGGAGCTGGATGAGAACGGCAGACCAATCATCAAGAGCAGAAAGCGCAAGAGGACGGGACCGTTGATCTTCGATAGACTTCCGGTGCAAGAATTCGAACATGCCGAGTGGACAGGCTTTAGCGACGACGAAATGAGCACCAACGCGGATGGCGACGTAGATTCTGAGGGCGAAAACTCCGCAACGGAGTCGGAGGAAGTTATGATGGCTGCCTCAGATGCCAGCGGCGAAACCCAGACCGACGACGACATGGAGGATACATCATCTGAAGGAGATCCGGAAGATTCAGAATCTAGCAGCACGTCCAAGGTAGCGCGCAAGGCTAGAACTTCAGCGTTCAAAGCCTGGGCAGAACAAGAGCGCAATAAAACCATAGGGTTCACGCCGTCTACGGCCACGCAGCTACAATTGCCGGTCATCCCAGAAGAGATCAAGAACTCTTTTGTCCCCCGTCCCATTGAACAAGATCCCCTACCTGAAGGTTTCACTCAGCAATCAGAAATTGCGAAAGATCGACGGGCGTATTCCGTCCCCGTTCAACGAACAGATGAAATTCAAACGAAGCGTATGGCGCTTCCGGTCGTGGCAGAGGAGCAGCGTATCATGGAGGCAATCTTCAACAACGATGTCGTAATAGTGTCCGGTGCCACAGGTAGCGGCAAAACAACCCAAGTACCGCAGTTTATGTTTGAGCATGGCTTTGGAAGTCCTGATGGACCAACGCCGGGCATCATTGGTGTCACTCAGCCTAGACGTGTGGCAGCTGTCAGCGTGGCGAAGCGTGTTGGAGATGAGTTGGGTGACATGGGTAAGAGAGTGGCATATCAGATTCGATTTGACTCAACGGTGCGGAGCGGTACAGCCATCAAGTTCATGACCGATGGCATTCTCTTGCGAGAGATGACTGAGGACTTTTCGTTGAAGAAGTACTCGGCAATAATCATTGACGAGGCCCATGAGAGAACTGTAAACACAGATATCTTGATTGCTCTGATGAGTCGATGCGTTAAGATCCGAAGGGAGCTTTCATTGGCGCAGCCCAAAGTTTATAAGCCGCTTAAATTGGTCATCATGAGCGCCACGCTTCGCGTCGAAGATTTTCGGGCGAACAGTAGACTCTTTTCACAGCCTCCCCCTCTCCTAGAGGTAGAAGGGAGGCAGTACGATGTCAAAGTGCACTGGGCGCGAAGAACGAGCCACGACTTTGTTGACGAGGCATTTAAGAAAGTCAGTAGAGGACATAGGAAGCTACCACATGGTGGCATGCTTGTTTTCTTGACGGGACAGAACGATATTCGACTGCTGATGCAAAGGCTGCGGGACGTGTTTCAGACGACAGATGAAAAGAAGAAACCCGAGTCGAAGAGGAAAGTGGATACTAAGGATAATGCTGTCGAGGAGGAGGAACTAGAGGAGCTGGGAGCTGTGCACGATGACACGCAGCTCGACATTGACGAAGACAGTGTTGAGGCGGCTAACGAGGAAGAGACAGCTGAGCCGGACGATCCGGACGCGGAGTTCATCATCGAAGGGGAAGAACCTGCCTCTGAAATCATGAAGATTCACGTTTTACCTCTGTATTCACAATTGCCGTCGAAGGAACAGCTTCGCGTCTTCGAAGCCCCACCCGCAGGATCGCGTCTGATCATACTTGCCACAGATATCGCCGAGACGTCTCTTACGATTCCAGGTATTCGCTACGTTTTCGACTGTGGTCGTCATAAGGAACGTACGTGGGATCGAGCTGGAGTTCAAACCTTTAGGACGAGCTGGATCAGCAAGGCTAGTGCTGATCAGCGGATGGGCCGTGCAGGACGAACGGGGCCAGGACATTGTTACAGACTCTATTCCAGTGCCATTTTTGAATCCGCCATGCCGGAGTTTGCTCAGCCGGAGATATTTAGATCTCCGCTGGAGGGCGTGGTGTTGCAATTGAAAAGCATGAACATTGGAAGGGTGGACAACTTCCCATTTCCAACGCCGCCAGTGAAAGGTAGCATAGTCAAAGCAGAGAAACTGCTGATGAATCTGGGGGCACTTGACGGGAAAGGAAGAATAACGAAACTGGGGAGAGAACTGCAGAACTATCCACTGAATCCGCGGTTTGCGCAAATGCTGCGGTTAGGTGTGGCGCATGGGTGTGCCAAGGAAGTTATTGCTCTCGTTGCTGCGTTGGACGTGCCTGAGCTCATGATCCCAGAGAGCCAGCTAGATCTAAAGACGCCCGTCAAAGCGCAGGATGAGATCTGGACAGCGGAAGATGATCTTGCAGAGAGCACAAGACAGACTAACAGAAATGCTTATGCAGCCGCCCAAGCAAGACTTTCAAGACTGGATTTCAACAAAAACAAAGTAGTGCCTCAAAGCGATGCGTTGAAGCTTTTTGCTGCAATGCTGGACTTCTCTTCCACGCCCGCGGATCAAAAGGAAGAATTTTGCAAAACGAATTTCATAAGAGAAAAGGGCCTACGTGAGGCTGACCAACTAAGGAAGCAGCTCTTCAATATTGTGCGGAATCTGCATCCACATGTTGCCGGCAATCTTCAGCAAGATACGCTCAAGAAACCGTCTGAAAAGACGACCGCGCTGATGAAGCAGATTACTGCTGCCGGCTTTGTAGATCAGGTTGCCATACGTTCTGATCTGCTTCCCGTGCCACCAATAGAGGAGAAGAAGGCGAAGAGAGCGATCGATGTCAAATACAAAACGCTCTTCTCTTCGTCTTCAAGGGATGGAGAACCAAGCGAATCGGACGATGGGTTTGTCTACGTCCATCCATCTTCACTCCTTGCTCGGCTGCCTACCAACTGCATGCCAAGATACATCATCTACCATCGGCTTCAGCGTTCGCAACCTTCCCAGCCCGGTGCTACGTCCAGAGTCAGGATGGCCCCTCTCACGCCGGTCTCGGCCGAGCAACTGGCGAGCCTGGCAAAGGGCACCGGCCTGCTGGAAATTGGCAAACCGCTGGGAAAGCTGGAAGTCTTACCGTCGAACGAGAAAGGTGAGGAGCGAAGGGAGTGCGAGGTCATGCTCTCCCTCGTGGGTGACAAGGGAATGGTGGGATGGCCGCTGGTGCGGAAGAAGGTCGTCCAGAGAAGGGACCCCGCTGAGGGTTGGGTTGTCGATGTGTGGAAGAGCTGATTCCACGTCGAAGTGCACTTTCTTTTTTTGCGTGGTGCAAACATGTTTTGGAATTAGCATATCTATAAGGCGAAGCAGAGATACCGTCTGCGCCTGGGTGAAAGCTTATCGATAGAATGCAACAGCAGCATTTCTAATGCCCTGAAATCCAGAAAGTATTGTTGCCGGCACCGCGGCGTGAAAGCGATTACAATCGATCCGTCAAACACAATCACTCGTCTCTGAAAATCCACTTCCCTCCTCGTCGCATTGCTTCCCGATACCTTTCTCTGACCATGTCTCTCGACCTCTTCTCGACCTCTTCTGCCCTTTTCTCAACCTCCTGCGTCGTGGGCATGTCCATCTCCCAGAACCCAGGCGGGCTCTTTGCCCGCGCGTTGGGTCTAAGCCGATGCCGCCCATACCTGTCCGCAAGAAGGCTCGTCTTCGCTTCGAGGATGAGATCTCGAAGCCGGTCAGGGTCCAAGCTACGCACGTGCTTGAGCGAGAATTGTTCTCCGAGGTGATGTTTAAGCAAACGCTCTTCGTCTGTAAGGGAGTCGTCCTGCGTAGAGGCAAAGAGCGAAGAGCCAACCGTCACAGGCATGTCCTTAGCGAGGGCGCGCATCTGCTTTCCGCATTGGCGACAGGAGCGATCGGTGCAGGCATGCAGGTATCGTCGGTCTTCCCGGCTCCGGACTGGTTCTATGCATGTGATGTTCACGTTCCCATGCGCGCGTGGGTTTAGCTTAAAATCCTCCGGTTTGAGTTCAGAGACGGGGCGTTCACGCAAGGGCGTGATCGACCTCTCTGTGGCGCGCTGACATTGTGCTTCAAAAGTTGCTTGATGAGCAGGTGGTGATCGCGGCGATCCGTAGTTCACAGTCGGAGAATTCATCCTCTTTTGCTTCATCTGTGGAGCTGGTGTGCAGTCTGCCACAGGCTTATGGAGGGGATATTCTGTCTTTTCTTTCGATACGGCTGGCGGTTGAGCGTCCACAAGAGACTGCCGTCGACGGGATGTGTTGAAAGCTGGGCTAATGAGCATACGCTTTGCCGGTCTCGAATCATTGAGCAAGACTTCGATTGCATCCTCAGCGTTTCTCTTTCCTGACAAAGGCTTTGACTTGAAACAGCTTTGGCTCTGATCTTCACTCTTAACAAAGGAATACGATCCTTCTGCCAACTGCTCTTTTTGATCGCTTTTTATCGTCTCCGCAGTGACAACCTGACGATTAGATTGATTCGCTCTGTTGGGACTTATGGGAAGCAGGGCTCGGTGTTCGTCACTGACTTCTCTTCCGCCGTGCCTTTCTGAGCGTCGCGCACGACATGAAGGACTTTCCCCAACGGCGGTTGAATTGGTAGTACTATGATCTGTAAGTGTGCGTTCGATTGAACTGTTTCGATGAAGCGGAGCTTGCAAATTTTGCAACTTTCGTGGTGTTGTGATGTGGGCTCCCGTCTCGTCAAGATCGACGGTCTCATCACTGGCAGTATCCAAGTCAGGGGTTGGCATGTCAGGACCACTATCTGCCTCCATCTTGACTAGAATATTTTCCGTAATCAAGGCTTTGGCTTTGGTGTCAGCAAAACTAGGGCTTTCTCCACTGTAGCCATTAGCTAAACTCCTAGGTTGTTCTGCTGGAGGCTTTGGGGCGGAATATCGTCGCTTAGATGATGTTTCATGTATATGCTCTATATTTGAAGTAATCACATTCGTCGATTCTATATCGGAATGCGTTATCGGTATGCCTGTTCCGAGATCGGGAGGAACTGTACGTTCTTGATTGCTCCTGGCGTGAACTTCTTCCTGTGCGACATACTCTGACGACGTGGGCTCTATTGCTAGCGTCGTCAATCTTAGCTTGGACCGAGGCTTTAGAGTGGATACAACATCACGCTGATCACGTCTTGCACCACATGGGGATGATTTTGGATGTTCTAAATGACCCGATCCAACAACGTTGTCCCTTTCCGAAGACGATGAGCGTGAAGCCACCGACGGGAGAAATGCCTGGCGTTCAGGGGTAGCAATGCCAGCACGCCTTGCACGGTCATTGCATCTTTGTGCATATTCTTGCCAGGGACGGATAGACTCTTTGGCCTTTTTGTAGCGCGCTTTGTAGTGCTCCAAAGCTTGAGCGGTGGCCTTTAGTGATTTCCACGTGATCTCCTGCTGTTCACGCAGCTTAGAATACGTCGCATAAGGCACCACGGACTCCTTCTCAGCGCTTGGAGAAGATGCATATGGCGAGTCTCTGTCCGCGGTATCCGTTGGCCCGTCTTGTGCATTTAACTTGGCTTGAAGACGAGCGTTTTCCTTCCTGCACTCATCTAGCTGTTCTTGAAGATCTCGGTTAAGCTCTTCCCCTAAAGAGAATTTGTCAGTATGACCTATGAGAACCCAAAGCAAGATCGTACTTTTCTGTATTTCACGCGTGAACCATCTCTGAAACTCCTCTAACCGCCACTCGTCGCCAGTCTTCCCACTTGTCCCTGAAGCTGGCGTGGACATAGCACAATCATTTGGAGAAGGTCGTGTTTAGCTCGTCCTTAACGTGTAGCGAAGCGAGTGATACTATTCCCTGCGTCTAGATTTGCACTAAGTCAAAGGGCGCTTCGTGCTTGACGCGTCGATGATGAGGTAGGTTAAGTCAAGCCTTGCAAGCTGTTGGATGTTGAGCAATCTACGTGATGAAGCACCATGTCAAGCTCAGCCGGTGTTCTGCGTGCTCAGTCATCTCCTGCCACAGCCAGTCAGTCAGATGAACGCTCCATGCAAAGCTGCTTTTGAATGTTGGACCGCAGGAAAGATCACGAAAATAGCGACTGGAGAAGAGAGTGGGGGCTGTGCAGTGTGGCTAAGCACGTAGGTTGCAGCTCCGCGTCTTGTCACGTGGCGTTCTCGCCTAAACCTGCCCATGCGCTCTTAAGCGACAAGGCCAAGCGACGACGCGTCCATGCATCGCTCGCGTCGAAAGGAACTCAAACTACACGCATACTGCTAGAGCGTGGAAATGGGCTGCTCGAGTATACATGTCGACGCAAATACCGTATTGCAAGGTCAGCTACTTTCCCTGCAACCCCATGGTGAGGTTTTGATCTAATGTCGGCGAAGATATTCATTTCGCAGCACCTTCGCCGACGGCATTATGCACAGCGTCGTTTGAGTTTACTTTTCTAGGCCTCGTCGACACATCAAAGATTCCATTGGCGTTCATTGCCGGCCCATCTCATGAGGTATGGACGACAGAAGAAGCTTCATCCACATGGTTCGCAGATCAGCTTGCGGAAAATGCCGTAGAGCCTCCAACGTACCCGCGCTCTGGCGTTCTCGCCGCAGTTGAGAAATGTATCAACGGCGACAAGGAGTCCTCTCTGTTTACCGAAGTCCTCTTCCATGCTGTTCCTGCTGCTCCGCCTGAAGTCGAAATGAAGGAGTCGCTCTTTACACTCAAGGCGATACCACTGTGCGCCCAAGCGCCCGAATATCTGCCTTCCCTGCCGTCATCACCCAAGGCTTTGCCTGCGGGAACGAATGCTGAGTTTTTGCCTCCACTAGCCGCGCTCCATGCTGCTAGCTTGGCTGCAGAGAAGAAGCGCAAACAGGTTGCGAATGTCTTTGATGAAGCCACCGAGCGCAAGCGAAAAGCGCGTAGATCAGGCGGCGAAGATCTTGCAACTGCTGCATCGGTTCAAAATGATAGCATAAATTACCTCGTAGGGCAGAAGAGACCGAAGAGGTCTCTGAAAACGCAGACATCTATATCAGGTCATTTTCCGACGAAGCACTTCCATGAACAAAGCGTGGCAGTAAACTTCCAGTCGTCGCGATCAAGAACAGGAAGCTTGTCTGGAATTCCGCATGATGCGCAGGATAAAATGTTGTCATGTTCTCCAAGCGCGCAATCAGACCCTTGTACTGCAAACTTGAGACCAGCCGTTGATTCTCGCGCGAGGCATTTAACACTCTCGCGCGTTTCCAGTCTCCAAGCTACCAGCACTACTGAGGAGCGGAACAAGGAGATCATATCACGACTTGTCATGGCCGGAATGCGACTGTATGGGCTCCAGCCGCGGAAGCGAGTAGGCCACGTGCGCCGACATTCCGAAATGAGCACGCAAGTGCAGACCAATACCACAGACACGAATCTTCAGACATCTAGCAAGGATGATGAATATAAGCTAGTTTATCATCAGACGTATAAGGGTGCTGTCTTTGCACTAGTAAGTTCGAGACCCAAAATAACATTGATTGTGCTAATTAAATCTCCTAGCGTCATGTTATCTCTAGTAAACCCTTATATTTGGATCCAACTGAGATTCAAGATATTGTTGACAAATTACTCACCATTTTCTGCGGAGATGCTTCTGTTCCTGCCTTCCGAGCTGGTGAGGCGGGCTGACTGCTGCGAGCACGAGCCGCGAAATCAGAAATGATTGACGAAAAGGAACATATCACAGCAAAAACTATTTGATTGGAAGTGATGGGAAAAATCCAAGTTTCGTTCGTTATCGAGACAAGCGGAACAAAGGGTGCATCCGGCGCACCGTGTGAGCAAAAAATACAAAACCGGAAGCAAAGACGGCTAAAATGATCCTATCATGGTTCGATTGCATGAATCAGAGAGCCTCCCGACGCCATGCTTAAGCCGAAACGGCACATCTCGTTTTGGTTTGTCATCCTCGCGTTGCACATCATCACGAAAGGATTTTCGTAGCCCAGGCTGATCCCTGGTCACGCACTGCGATTCAGCCAAAGTCAGTCGTCAACATCCGAACTCGAATTGGAGGTAGCACTCACTGAGAACAGTTCGATTGACTTCATTTACCATCGTTGGCTCTCCTCGCACGCTCTTCAGCCTCCCGTCGTGCACGCTCTTCCTGTTCTCGCCGCTCCGCTGCGGACGACTCGGACGAGCCCATGACGTGATAAAAACGGGAAAGCTTGGTGTCGGCCATTTCAGGAGTGGATGGATGAGCAAGTGAGTCGTGCTCTTGACTCTGATTTTGCGCGTTGCCAGCGGCGTGGTGGTTTTGAGGGCGAGCTTCACGGTGTGCTTGCTGACGCTGAGTTTCGACGCGGGCCTCTTGGCTGCTCTCCTGCACGTCGTTGTTGCTGGACATGAAAGGTTGGGTTTGGTCGCCGGTTGCAATGGTAGTTAGAGACGATTTCCTGGACGACGGTGCTGACTTGGACGCTGCTCCAGCGAGGGCGCTCTCGGCGATTGCCTGAATTTTTTCGAGATAATGCTGTGTTTCTGTCATCATGGCGACTGTTTCCATGGCTCTTATATATGTGACTTTCTTGAGGTCGAACCGTCAATCGTGAACAATCACCGACGTTAAGCCGCGAGTCCACCTGTAGCCGCAAGGAGCAAGGGATATCGCGCAGCTGGCCCAGGGTTGCAGGCCCACAAAGTGTGTGAAGATGCACTGGACCGTTCGAACCAGCTGTGGTGTCACTGACAAAGGAGATTTCCTGCGGGTTGTTGAATTGCATCGTAGCCCTTTCCGGTCGGCGCGGAGTTCCTTCCCCTCAGCTATTTTTTACAGCCGCAACAGCTCTGAATCAAGATCGCAGCTTCCCCGTTCAGCCGCACATCGTGGCTAGTGGGCTGCGTTTACGCGAGGACCAATCACGCCCTGTGGCGGGGGCCTTCCCGGTCACGTGAGCTGCAGCCTTGCGATCGGCGCATGCATGAACTGCCCGCGACGTGCGGACGTGACCCACCGAAGCTGGCAATGCCTCAGCCGCCGGTGACGAGTTTCTCGAAATTCTGATTCGTAGCGTCCCTCTGCTGTGATTCGCGTGGACGCTTCTTTTTTTTAGTCCCCTCCCTGCCGCAGTGGACGTCCGGGCTAATTTTGACTATGCAAACTTCGGGCCAAGCTTCGCTCTCTGGCGCCGTCTGCTCTCGTCGACCTCGGAACCCCATTGGCGGCCTGGCTTGCACCGTTCATGAACGTGGAAGCTGAGCTTGGTGGACCTCTATCAACCGTCTTCGAAGCTCTCCCCATGCAAGGGCTCTTTACCTTGCATTACCACTTTCCCATCACAGTTGGTCCTTTTGTTCGCGCGGAGCTGTCGGCCATGCGGCTGGTCCGCCCACCCCAACCGCTTTGCTAATCTCTGGTCCCAGGCACGAGGCTGATCGCGGGTCGACGTCTCTATTCTGAGCCTTGCGCGTGTCACTGGACGAACGCTTGACTTCCTTTTCCGTGAGCGTGGTGACTGCCCCTTCGCCGTCCGTTCAATGGAACTCCGTTCCTAGAAGGTGCTTTAGGAGCTGAACCTGCAGCCGCATGGACATCACAAGGTACAACCGCGTAGTATTGGGCGCTCGACTGTGCGGCGTACTTTAAGCATGAATCCTTTCATTGCGATCATCCGTGATTCGAAGGGCAATATTCCACATCTGCGGCTACACGATCTCACACCAAGGCTGACTTGACCTGTAGGAGTCTAGCCACAAGATTGTAACTAGCCCACAGTTGCTAGGTGTTGTAACACGAAGTGGCCATTTTGGAGGCCGCAAGCTGCCTCCTCTGATTTTCTTGCGACGAATAAGCAATTCGGGTCAATGCAACAGACATGGCTTTGATGATTCTCAAGCCATCAAAGCTGAGGCAAGAGTTAAATTTGTCCGGTTCAATGCACACTTAAGCAAAACTTCTATGGTTAGGTGTTATTTCCGGAAAGAAGCATTCAACAAACAAGCTGAGCGAGAGCTGGAGATGAAAACGGAGCTGAATGCCGAATACATTGGGGTATAATATTCTCTTGAAACCACATAACACGCGTATCTTCGGTGCGCAAGGATGTGGAGTCACCGCGCACGTCCTCAAGACTTCCAAAATGCCCTCCTCTGTGCAGGTTATGAAGACCGAGAGCCATATGGCTCAAAAGGAAACGCTGCAGCTACTATTGCCATGACAACGTACAATGCTGCACAGATGTAGATTGGCACGGACGTTGACGTCTATCAGAACCTGTTAGTACCTGCCACTTTCGATGACCATTTGCCGCATACGAGCCTTCAGGAGAAAAAACAAGGGGGGGAAGAGAGAGGAGGGGTTTCAGGGGGGAGGACTGACATTAGCTTCAGTAGCAATGACTGCAGACATGATACCCATGATTCTGTTCAAACCGATAGCTATACCATTGCCAGTTCCGCGGTGAGCTGACGGTAATACTTCGGGGGTATACGCGTACAAGCATCCATAGTAAATATTCTGGAGTTATCGCGATTAGAAAATTGAGATCAAAAAATGAATCTCAAAGGCAAGTATCCAAGTAAGGAAGTGAACTTACCAGGCAAAAGCTGATTGCACAATTGAAGCCAACGTTCTGCGCAGCGGTGCGGACCTGCGTGTAGGCGAAGAAGAAGACCATTGTAACTAAAGCGCCAATGACCATCGTTCCTCTGCGGCCCCAGAACCACTTGCTCGCGCACATCAACCCTGCGAGAACAGGACCCCAGATTGACGAGAAATTGGCAAGAGCGTAGTTGCGCCAGGTGACATAGTCGCTGTCCTGGCCGAAGTTGGCGCCGCGGGTCTTGAGATAGGTAGGCAGGAAAACGTTGTACAGCGGGTATGCGAGGCCTATGAGCAACCAAGAGAACCAGATAAGAGTTGTAGAGAGGCCTATACGTTTCGTCTCGAAGAGGCCTTTCAAGTGCGTGATGACTTCTGCGGGAGAGAAGCGAGCCTTTGCATGAGCTGCCACGCTCTTGCGGCGTCTGGTTCCGAGTTCTTCTCCGGGAATATTGCAGGCCTGCATCTTTTCAAGCGTGAGCGAACACGTCCTGTTGTACTTGGTGGCAATCGCTTGCAGTGATGCCACGACGTCAGCGTCACGGCCTTCGCCAACAAGGTACTTAGGTGTCTCGTGCAAGCGGATGACTGTGATACGTAAAATGCTCATCACGAAGACAAGTGCACCGCTGGTGTACCACACGTATCGCCAGCCGGGGTTGTTGTGGTTATTACATGCCTCCGCATCTGGATTGCAGCTGTAATTTGGAAGATATGCCCACGCGAACAGACCTGCAATCAGCTGACCTAGGCCTAAAATATCGTCAATAATCTATTTTCTCTCTTTACTTGTTGTTCTCGTGCTTACCCCACCAGCAGGCCATCAAGGTTAACAGCCATTGCTTGCTGCTCGGTAGATACTCCAAAAAGACGGTGGTGTCCAACACAAGATTTCCTGACATCTCGTAAGTAATCCTGTCGCACCACATAAAAGGCTCGAATTTAGGGTTCACCTCCAGCGCCGAACGAACTAAGACACACGAATGTGCCGAGAACGATCCAGTTTGGCGAAGCACCCGCGACGATGGCGAAGATCGAACTGATCAACAAGGAGCAGTTAAAGGCGAATTTGCGGCCGATTATGTCTGCGCTAAGACCCCAAAACAAAGCGCCCACGAGCATCCCCACATACGCAGCTATGGTAAGCCCCTTTGGATACGAGGGTTCGAATTGATAAGCGGCGTAAGTAGACGTGATGGATTGGAGGAGCAGAAGCAGACTGTCTGTAGCGTAACTGCGACTCGTAGGTCAGCATCACGTGGTCGCAACGTGTAGCAGGTACTGCAAAGGTCGCCGTACCCAAAACCGTTCAAGCAGAAAAGCTTGACTTGGTATGTCGTGAATCCGATCTCATCGATTGCGTCGTTCACGAGGTGCATCTTTGCGTTGAGGACCGGGTCCACGGATTCAAGGCCCAGGACGTCGCCCTTCTGAACGCTTCTCGTCTCTAGAGATTCTTCATCTACGGCGTGACCCGCCGTGACGGGCTTGTCGTCAGGGGACTTTTCGGCCATGGTTCAGAGCTACAGGCCGCCGAACTGGGTTCGCAGGCGACGAGGAAGGTGGGAGGTGAAGAGGCGGTCGAGACGAGTCTCGTGGTTCTTCACCAGCCAATTTGTACACGACGTTGTCGATCCATCTCGCACGCCAATCTAGCTTACAAGCCGCCTAGTGGGTTCCATCCATGGCGCACGCGGCGCCGAGAATGAGTCTAGCGTGTTGTCTGAACGATCGTCCCGACCGATTATCTCTCCGGCTACGTCACGTTTGCCGTGGGTGGGGACTCAAGAAGTCGCCCGACACACAGGGCCTCGGTACAGCTGCTGATAAGAGAGGATCGACCCTGGATGAGGATGAATTTCGAGCACGACAGTTTGATGCGATGCAACGTTGGTTTGCGCCTCTGGGATCAGGGTTGGAGACGCGGGGGCCGGGACTTGGTTCCTGGGAATGGGAGAGCGTGTGGTTGATCTTCGCGCTACGATTGGCTGGATGGCGATCTACAAAGAGCGGAAACTGGGCAGGCGAGCACCGCTTGGTGCGAGATGGTGTCCACCCGTCGTGAACATTGATGGATTGTCGTGTGCGCACCAAAAGAACTTTTCGTTGCAATCAATTCACTCCGCCTCGCCACGACAGCCGAAAGCCAGCAGGATGGTCAATGCAAACGAGGTCACAGTAATCGCTTGATCGACGAGGACCAGCAGCTCGATTGATGGCTGCGTGATGAGTGTACGAAATGATGTCATCGATGGTGGTATGCCTCAGGCTTCACAAGGCACGGATACCTTTCTACTTTCCTGCGGTCTTGCGCATCCTCAGGCACCAAGGCGGTAAAGGACCCTTGCGGCGTCGTACTTTCCCCATCCACGAATATCACAAGTAAACGAAGCATTAAGCTCAGGACGGCGGCCCAGCAGACGGTGTGCGGCGATAGCTGGCCATAGCAGCATCCCTTGGTCACAATGGCGACCGAGCTGCCAGATCCGCTCACCTTCTCCAGCTGGGAAGATGCCTTCGCGCACCCAATTCCCACCGTTCGAAAGCTCGAGCAACAATTGCGACGCCACGCAGATGAAAATCGCGAGAAGCTGCGGGCTTTGGTTGGGTATGTCCGCCCGAGCTTTTGAGGAGCATCAGCGTCCAGAGTACTCAGACAGCGCTGACAGCGGTCCGCCGGCAGAGTCAGCTATCGTGATCTTCTTGGAACGGCTGAACGAATCATCGACATGGATAGAGAAATGAAGCTCGTCGAGGATATGCTTGCGCAAACAGGCCATAGGTGCAACGTCAGGGTGGTGGACAGCATATCGCAAGGCTACGCCAAAATCCACTCGGAGAATGCATCACGGGGTAGGTTGGATCAGGCCTGAAGAGACGCATTGAACATCGATTGATGCATTCGATAGTGAAGGACCGCAACGCACTTGCATCGCAACTCGCCATCTTGGAAGAGTGTCCGGTAATAATCACGCGCGTATTGAGACGCAAAGGATCTCTTTTGCAAGCCGCCAAGCTGTTGCTACTCTCCCGCCTCATCCACAAAACTCTCTCCCAACGACCGGATGCTCCTCCGCTTGTCGACCACCTCAAGGATCGCCTTTCTTCGCTACGAGTCAAGCTCCTACGGGCTATTGACAAACGCTTCGCAAACCCAGAGCAAAGCGTAACCAGACTGGTGGATGATATGTGTGCCTACGCTTTGGCGATGAGCTCAACCCCTTCAGATGTCATGCAACACTTCCTGAATGTCAGAATGCGGGCAATACAGTGGCATCTCGCTCAGGACAGCAACACTCAGACTCACGTCCTCAAGGCCATGCGCCTCCTTCTAAGTACGCTTCAAAACAGTCAATTGCTCTTTCCCAAACGCCTATCCGAGGCCTTGCTGCGCCTTAAGGATCTACCTCTTGTTAAACAAGCGGATGTGCAATCAGTGACAGAGCTTCGACTTGACATCCATATGCGCTGGCTGACGGATGAATTACGCAACTACACGCCTTGGCCGAGACATGATGAACTCCAAAAGTCTGAGGCAGACAGGCTCATCAGGGGATGGGCAAAGAGTGCGCAGAAGGCATTCGTCACGGGTCTAGCTGCGTCTCTTGAGGAGATTTGCAATTTTGACAAAATACTCGAGATTCGACAGCACCTCTTTGAGGCGTGGCCATGGACAGACAGACGCTTACCCGGACTGCACTCGGCTGACGTCGTAGATGAGCTACGGGAAGCTTTCAATGAGAGGATGGCCGCTATCGTCCAGATGCAAGTCAAGGAACTGAATAACGTGTGCAAAATGATACGTGGCCTACTTCGAAACCCAGGTTCTGTGTCTCTTGAGGAACCTCTATGGAGCTCGTCTTTGACCGACATGGAGGTCGGTGTTGGTGGCCAATACTTCAAGAATGCAATCTTGTCGAGCTACAACGGAATCCAAATCTCGACGTCGCCAATTCTAGTTTATTTCGACGAGTGGATTTCGAGCATCAATCAGATACAGGCCGACTTGAAGAAGATGCGCGACGCACATTGGGAGGATGACCTTGGAGTGGAGGAGGAAGATAACGAAATAGACTCACGGCAGACACTTTTGAGCAAGGATGATCCCCGCATTCTAGGAGACTGCTTGAGTAAAGCCTTGCAAAACCAAGCAAAGTCTTTGTCGGATGATTTCAGAGCGCTTTTGAACGAGGTCCTCTCGGAAACCGAGTCAACGAACAATAACGGCACTCTTGGAGCTGTCACTCTGCTAAGAATTTTGCGCGAGATATTCAGACGCGCATCCGTTCAGGACAAAATTCTCGCAGAAGTCACGATTCCTTTGATCTCTACAGATTTGATTACCCCATTACACGAGAGACTCTCTAGAGATATGTGTACCAAAGTTAGGGGCCTGTTATCAAAATCATTAGTCCGACTGGAGAACTCGCCCGTGCTCGCTGGAAAAGCCCTATGGGAAGGCAAGCCGCCTTTGCCTATCCAGCCATCTGCTATGGTGTTCAGACTGTTGAAGGAGGTGACGGGATGCATGGCAGACCTAGGTGCAGATTTGTGGTCAGAGGCTGCAGTGCGAGCTGTGAAGAATGTGCTCAGTGCAGCTATTGCGGAAGAACTGAAGCGGACTGTATTAAATTTGTCTACGGAGCCGAAATCCCAAGTGGCCAACGGTGATACCTCGCGTGTGGATGGACAGCACGACAGTTCTTCAGCGGAAGGTGGAGGAAACGATAGCAAGGTTGTTGAACAAGCGGACGGGAAGGAGCTCAGAAGAGACAAGCTGACGCAACTAGCCATGGACTTGACATATCTCAACACGGCACTTTCGACGAGGTCACGGGCAAATTTAGCGCTCCAAGAGCTAATTGAGCTTGTCATGGGCCGAATACAGCTCGCTGATGCAGAGAAGGCACGCGTAAAGAAGAGTGCTACGGAATGTTGGAAGAGGACGTATCTCCTATTCGCGCTGCTTGTGCCGGAGCCGTAGTTGGCGATGGCTCAACGCATCGTAGCAGCGCATGAAGAAAGTGGTTTTCAGCCGTAGAGGTGAAGCTTAAATAGAATATCATAGTTCAAATGAATCGACAAATGCCACCCGCGTGTATGCACCGATCGTGAAGAAATCTTGCCTCGCCCGCGTACTTGTCTCGCCGGTCACGTCTTGGCTGTTTCGTCATCCTAATTGTAAATTGATGCTATCTCTTTGGGAGTCCCCGCGTTTTTTAATCCTTTACCCACAGCTTATGTGGGACATGTATCATTGAACTGAATTTGGGTTCAACTCTGCGATATTCCCACAGCACAGGACCTTAGCGCCGGACAAATACATTGTGCGACCAAAAGTCTGAACCTCGCCAAGGTATTTCAGCATGTGCTGAGCATTGGGTGGAGCGTTTGCGATTCGTCCCATACCGCAGTGCTGAAGCAGGTTTCTAGGATCTGCCCATACAGTTGAGGCCTTTTTCTTCTGGCTTCCTTTCTTTATTTCTGGGTTCTCTTACCATTCAGGCAGTCCTGGCACACTTGGATTCGCTTGTTTGGAGACGAGCGACCTGCGACAGGGTGAGTCACGACAAAAGGACGTGGCAAAGTTCATCGAAGACGTTTGCACAAGGGAGACAGGCATGGAGGAGACGAAGGGTCAGGATGAATATGTGCATGGAAGCGCGTTCATTTTGTTGTTTTGTCTTCTTTTTTTTTCCCCCAAGGGCGGACAGCGCCGAGCTGGTTTATATGCTTCTTCGAGCCGTAGTCAGGTATTAAGACAGAAAACCACTATGTATTGCCGTGCGTCGCGCCGCGCACAGCAGCAGTTGCAGCAGTAACGCGTACAAGACGGTTGTGACGGTTGGGCCCAATTCTGCACATTCGGTTCGTCGCACGATTTCACCACGCCGCCGCAACGGTACTCGCCCTGTTTCATCCAGAAAGAAGAAAAATTAAATTAATTGACGCCAATCGCTCGATGCTAATCTAGTTTGGACGGGTGTTTCGGCCGACGGCGCGCGGTCAGAACCAACGCCACCACAGGAAGAACAGGATGATGAAGCCGACCGCGGCAAAGGGCCCGTACTGCTTGAGGAGAAGCTCCCAGTTCATGCGCACGGCGGCTTTGCGGTACTTCAGCGAGTCGTCCCTGAGTCGCGAGCTCATGTCGCCCATCTTGTCGAGGCTGTCGCCGCGGTAGAGCAGGTCCTCGATGTTCTTGTTCATGATTTTGCTCACGTCGCGCAGCTCGTCGTTGAGCTTGTCCAGGTTGACGCTCGCGCGCGCGTCCTGGTACGTCTTGCGCGTCTTCTGGATGAACGAGTCGAACTCGATGAACGCGTACGGCCGCGTGGTCGGCGACAGGAACTGCTGCGCCGGGTACGTCGTGGTGAACTCCTGGCACAGGTCGGACAGGTACGTGAAGGCGAGCTTGCGCGGATACGAGGACTCGCATATGCAGTAGAAGACGAGGTCGGTGTTGATGATGTAGCTGCAACGGGCGTCAGCGACTTCGCCGTCGTCGCGGGCGTAAAGAGTGCCACCAGCGGGAAGGGGGTTTGGCATGCTTACAATATGTTGAACTTGGAGCTCTCAATGCATGCTTCCTGCGCCGAATTGCGATCAAGTCGTCGGAACAGCTGTCGCGCTTTGTTCTTCGTGTCTCCAAGCTCGATCTCGTCCTTTTCGCCCAGTCAATATCCCAACTATACGTGTAGAGAAACACATCCGCGCTCTGCTGGGCTGCGTGAAAGGAGGCCTTCGGAAGGGACGTTGTTTCGACACACACACACACACCTCTTTATCGTCCATGGTGGCGACCAGTATCAGCCCTAGCACGCGTCGTTAGACACCTTCTCTCTGCTCAAACGTGTAGGCACGGCCGTGCTGGCCTTCCTTACCGTCTAGGCGGGCTATTGTCGTAGAGAGGATCATGTTCAGGTCTCGCCGTGAAATCCACGGGCTGGAGGATGAGAAGGGTTCGACGTGATGCGCAGGGACGGACGAACCAAACTGTACGTGAACTGTTGCTGCGCTGTTCCCTAATTGCTTGCCACGGCCAGCTCAGCCGTGATGTCTATTTGGCCACTAAGCTGCTTAAGTTTACTGTGACAGACCAGGATGCGCCCAAGCAGGATCCAGACGCGGGTGCGGCCTCTTGTTCCCCAGACCCAAGTTGACTAGAACTCGAGCTTAATTAGCCTGCAGCGAGCGGTCAATTTTCTGCAACGCTCCAGTCTCCAATCGTGCATCAAGACTCACTTCTTATCCAAGCGATTATAGCCGGCGAAGCACGTAGGTGCGCATACCAAGGTGGTGCCTGGCGCTTTGTCCGCCGAGCAATTCTTACGCAGCACAACTGGTGCTTTCGCTACAAGCACTTACTGGACGCAACACCCGCCACTCGACGCAATGGCAGACGAGGGCCGAGGTCACAGAGGAGGAGGCTCTTCACGAAGAGGTTCTTCCAGAGCACATCCATACGTTGTACAGTCAACCGCTGACCATGGCCAAGACTACGAGAGCACCAGAAGCCGAGACGAGCGGCCCCGCGACAGTAGAGACTCTCGCAGCGATCGCCCCCGTAACCATAATCGCGATCGCAGCAGGGAACGAGATCGAGATCGTGATCGCTACCGAGCCGACGACCGCGACCGCGTCCACAAGCCGCCCCGAGGCTCTCACCGCACGGGCTTGAACCACAGTTCCGGCGACCGCACAAGACATCGCGAGACGGCATCACCACAACCGCCGAGAGGACCGCGTGATCCAAACGCCCGCTTCCGGCCTACAGCACCGAATGCAAAGACAGACAGATCCGATTTGGATTCTGAGGTCAAGTCTAGAGTCGACGATGTGAACATGGACGACTTGAGCGAGGACGAGAAGATGCTTCGGATTATGGGCTTCAAGAAATTCAAGAGCACGAAGAACACGAAGATACCGGGCAACGAATTCAACTATGCGGTGAGAAAAGAGAAGCAGACCAAGTACAGGCAGTACATGAACCGACAGGGCGGATTCAACCGGCCGTTGTCGCCGAGCTGATGAGCGGAATGGGATGGACGAACGTCTTTGTCTTTTCGCCTTTAACGGGGTGAATTCGGTGAGGAGAGCCAGCTGGCGGCTCGATGACGGAATGTCAATGGCATATCCGTACTTTTGAAAACGATGACCTAGACCGCCATGAGGGAAGAAACATATGCGGGACCGCCTAGGCACAGCTCGGCGTGGTCCAACAATGCAACGACGGTCTTGACTATTTCACGCAGCATGGCTGAAGCTGTGTTTTTAGAGCGTACTGATCTAGAGCGCTAGTGCAACGGCATAGTGAACAAAGATTCACTTTCCTTCACCGTTTCTCGTCGGCATTGCATCGCCAGTTGTTATATTTCATCCTCTTCCTCGTCAAAGTCATCTTCGACTCCCATCTCGTACAATATTCGCCCTCCCTCGCCGCCAGCGCCATCTTGCGCGTCGAAGTACGGAAGGACGACGCCTTCTCTGTCCCTCCGTTGCTTCTCCGTCAGTTCCAGATTGAAGGTGCTTTCCAAACCCTTTTCCACCACTTCCTCGCTCGGCTGGGTGTACAATGGATGGTCCTCAAGTAGAATAACTTCAGTCCCCCCGTCTCCTCCGCGTGCAACTCCCGCCTTTCGCGTCTCCTTTGCACCTGCCGACGCTACAGCTGACCCCGGACTCGAGAGGACAAACCACTCCCCAACGCTTCTTCCAGACTTTCGTCGGTATTCCATCTCTATGACCAGTCCTCCCGTGTCGTTGCTGCCTAAACTCAGCAGTGCGCCTTCGATACCTTCTCCACCCAGTCCAAACAGGGGCTCTGGCTCAGCCCTGTCCCGAGCGGCCTTTTGGGCGAGGACGTGATGCAGTGAGTGCACCGTGAGAATAGCGGTCGCTAGGTACCTGAGCACAGCAAGAGGCTGAGGCGAGTAACACGACGGGTTCGATCCGGTAACTGGAGCGTCCATGTGGTACGTTGCTACAATTGAACAGTTGAGTGCCATGAGCGGCGCAAAGAATGATGATACGTGCACCGAAGCATTGTTGAGCAACGGGTGGAGGGAGTCGAAAATGACAAGCGTTCCTGAATTTCATCAGCCTTCGCTATATTGCTGTCAGTTGAGGGAAGGTAGAACGAACTCGAAGATGGCGACACGGCTTTCTGAAGTCGTTTTTGTAGATCGAGTAGATTGAGCTCGTGGGCAAGAATGAAAACATCCGCGCTCGTTGGTTTGCGAACGGTTTCAAAAGAGACAAAGACGACATACGTCCGCGCCTTCTGATGCGATCCATTAGAGAAGATCTTTTATACGAGGACTGACGGGAGTTCTCCTAGACATGGTAGTGTTTCTCGAAATCAGTCACGTGACATCGGGAAGCTTGATCTCAAATTCTGCATACTCCAGCATCTACCCAAGCTCTTCTTGAACGCCCTTCGTTCGAGCGATGAGGCTTGATGAGAACATCTACGGGACAATAGCCACTTACAGTCGCTCTCTTGGCGATCTCTTTGACGAGTGGACGCCCGCTTTGCTCGAGTGAGTCGAGCACGAGGGTGAACGGAGACGCATTTTCTCGAGCACCCATCAACTTCTGGATGAGCAGCACGTTGTGGGCCCTCCGGTGCTTGAGATCCTCTTTCGCTGGCATTTTTACCAGGAGGCCGACCCGCTTGAAAAGAGAGTTCGAAGAGTGACCTGTAAAAGTTGCTTTCACGGCTGCGTAGACCAAGAGCGGACTGGCAACACTTGCTTAGACCAAATCCACCGAGCAGAGTCGTCTGAACCCTGATCTCCAACTACACCATTCGACCGCAACCATTACCACTGCTGACTGAGCAAAAACACAACCGTTTCGATTGCCTCTGAATGCCAAAAAGTATAAAAAGTTTTCCTATTCTCACCGAGAGGATCAGTAACTCGGGACTGAATACATTACTCTTGGCTGTAGAGTGTTGTCTTCGCTTGCAGTCCCAGCCAGCGAATGCTCACATCGCGCCTTGGGAAACTCAAGACGATTTGCCAACATTTCAACCTTCTTCTTGACTTGCCCAGTCGTGACAAATGGGAAATGAGCCGTTCAGGAATGCTGGAAGCTTAGCAAATCACACTCGAGTCGGGCTCGTCGTTCTATGCTACGAACAGCAGTGGTCGTGTATTTCTATTTGTTTAGATTTGCTAATGATGCCATGATGAAGAAGAGATCATCATATGGCAGCTTCGATAGGCAGCTAGAATTTTCAGTAATACTCCTTATTCACTGTGGAACGAAAATCCTTCAAATCTCCTCCGAGGAGCTCTACTGGCCTTTTCAATTGTCGGTCGACGTGAAAATGTCCTTCCACTCATCCAAAAGCGCCAAAGTATCTGTACATTTCTTTCGTATCGCTTGTTCACAATCGCTGCCGAGAACAATGCGCTCGGGAACTTCTCTTCCTGCTGCCACCCCGCTTCTCGTCAGAATGTCTACAATCACCAAGGAGCCCTTCACGACGTCTCCGGGCTGATGCTTGTTGGGCTTGTTCAAAGCCTGCCTTACTTGCCCGACTGCCGTCTCGTCGTAGTCCTTCAGCTGCGACCTGGTCTTGAGCTTTGCGCCAGGGTCTAGAAAGCCGGTGCGAAAGACGCCCGGCTCAATGACGGTCACCGTGATGCCGAACGGCGCCGTCTCTGCACGCAGGCCTTCGGCGATGCCAGAGCACGCCCATTTGGTGGCGCTGTAGAGTGAATATGCGGGTCCTGATCTCCACGACGCCAACGACCCGAACAAGGCTATTGTCCCAGACCTTTGCGCGCGCATGTACGGCAAAACTGCCCGCGTGACGTTGAGCGTGCCGAAGAAATTGGTGTTGAACAGCTGCAGCGTCTCCTCCGGCGAAGCTTCTTCAGCGGCTCCTTCGAGGATGTATCCTGCAATGTTGACTAAGTAGTCAATGCGACCGAACTTCGAGACGGCCTCGGAGACGGTCCGTTGTATGTTTTCCAGCTTGTCGGTCACGTCGAGTGAAGCTGTGTCTGCCCCTGCGGATTTAAGATCTTCGACTTTAGACACGTCTCGAGCTGTCGCAATCACCTGATGGTTGCGTCTGAGAACTTCTAGAGCAATTTGTCTACCGAAGCCCCCAGATGTTGCCGTAATCAACCACACTGGCGAGCTCATGGTCTATAACGTTCGAGGCGTGGTTCAAATTACTAGAAAGAAAAAATGCGCTATCTTCTAAATTGAATAATCCAGAGCGGCAGAGTGATATTTTGGCCGATATCGACATGTACAAAATGGTAGCTATTCCGTATGGATAAAGTGCACTACAGTCAGACTTGTTCCGACCACTTTCACTGCCTTCTCGACATCTCCGACTTTATTCGCGACTCCGGATTTTTTGACGCGGAATTTCAAATAGCCCGAAGTTGCGAGGCTCCTTAACTGATTGCAATATCCACAAGCTTCTTCCCTCGCTGGTTCTTGCTTTAGCACATTCAAACCAATCGCCATGAATGAAATATCTTTGGGTCAGATATGCCGATGGGACACGAGATCGGCTTGGGTACAGTATCAATTCGGAACAGATCAGGCTGCCACTGCACTCGGCGCAAGCTGATCCGAAATTCAAATCCAGCAGCTCAGTCTGCCATCATCCAGACTTAGGCAGAACAGTCGTGCATGCGATCTTGAGTCGCGTTACATGTATTTAGCAAAGCGTTGAAGGTTTATTCCTTCGCACGCTTCTCGCCATCTTTTCGATGGGATAATGCCATAGCCAGGATGGATTTGAAGCCCATCACGTCGTGAAACGAACCGAAACAAAAGCGCAGCAACGTGCAAATCACATTTACGACATTTCCAATTTTATTTATTGCTTGCTTAGTCGGCCACTGCGAACTGCATTGTGTGATCCGATCGTCCAGAGCTCTTGTCACTGGCGGCCCACTTCGTCGACTCGTTGTGGCTAGGTACTTGTAGTTTTCCCGAGGTAATACAATAAGGAGCGCTCAACTTCCGCAGATATCGCGCTCGCGCTCAGGCTTAACAGGGGAGTTTGTGGCTGATATCGTTATGTTGGATCTTGATTTAAAATAAACTTAACCACCGATAGCGCTGCATAACGTAAGAAAAGCGAAGTTTCGTTAAGTTAGAAGTACAAACATGTCTCTTCTCTGAAATCCTGAGTCTTACCAACGCAACCTGCTTCAAAATATCGAGACGTTTTTGCTCTGTCTTCCCCTCGCTACTTTGGAGTTTCTCGCTTATCTCATTTTCAATTTTATAACTTACAAGGTTGCATCTTTCTTATCCTGAGAATGAGCGTGGAAAAGCCTCCAGCCAGAGATCTTTCCTACGAGAACATAGAGAATGGCTACCTGCGACTGCGAACGAAGCCTTCAGCTCGAATGGCTTACTCATTCATCCCCTCTGCAACAACACATCCGCGCCGACCGGAGCCACTTCTCGTTTTCCTCAGCGGGGTAGACAATGCCAAGCATGTTTGGCAAAGAACATTGAACAAAATGTTTGAATTCGCCTGCGCTATTTCGATAGAACTCCCGCCGATGCTGTTCTATGATCGCTTTGGTACTGGTCAAAGCGACCCAGATCCCACGGACGCGGGGAAGCAACCGGAAGACTATCACGATGCAAACGATGCGGTGGCTGATTTATATCAGCTTATACTTCAGGTTGTGCAAGACAAATACCATCAAAAGGGTGCGTCGCCACACGTGCTTCCCCCCATAGTCTTCTGCGCACATTCCTTTGGTGTTTGTCTTGCTCGCATTTTCTCTGCCACGTATCCCGGCGTCGTCGAAGGCCTGATGATTCTGGATTCCGCGATCGCTACCATTCCCGCAGAGAAGTTCTTCCCCAACCCGGACGATCCTGCCTCTTGGAAGAGTCGCAAAGATGGGACCAGCGTCTGGAGTCGGAACGGCTTTCCAGCGGATGGGTTTTCCGAGGACATATGTCGAGATGCCATCCAGAAGATTAGATCATCACCGATAAGTGGCTATGCAATGGCGTCCAATGAGCGCATTCGATGGGACAACATGCCGCGATTGCTTCCATATAATGACAAGCCGAAATTACAAGGTCCTACACCGAGCTTGCCACTCGTGACAGTAATCAACAACGACCCAGACGTAGTGGGTCCAAATCTCGCAAGGGTCAGTTCTGTTTTAATTGAAACTTTATTTTAGCTAACGAAAGATGATTGAAGACGTTGAAGATTCCTGAACCACTGATACGCTATGCATGTCTGCCAATATTCCGAGACTACGCGAGCAAGCTGCACCATATCCAACCTAAAGGAGAAGGAAAGACGATTATCGCCCATGGAGCTGGCCACATGATTCATGTTGACTGCCCGGAATTAGTCGCGCGTGAACTGATCGAACTAATAGCTAATTCCTCGCAAATCGTGGAAAAATCCAGAATTTGACGCTTTCGAGAGGAGCATTGTCCACTGCAGAGATTTGCACTAAGTTGGCCTGGACGGACAGTTCAGCGGTCAAGTCACGTAGGCAGACAAACAGGGCTAACTTTGTTAAGTTAGAAGTGCGGGCCCCAAGCTGTTGACAACGGGACATTCTGACATTTACTTCTGGAGCCGCTTTCTGCAATACGGTAGAACATCTTCACTTGATCTCTCCAGTCGGAAGATCAACAGTAACCCCTATTTCAAGGAACGCGTTCGGCTCATGCGCATCGTTACCAACGCTCTTTGCAGTGTGGCAACAGTGCAAGAATAGGACAATGCTGTAAGGCCTTCGAATGCGATAAACCGTACCATCTGAAGAAATGTCGCTGACTCTCTTAAGCCAGTGATGGTGGATGTCGACATGCTTAAGCTTGAATCGAGCAAGGGCACGACTGAAAGCGACAGCGATAGCGATAGTGATAGCGATGGCATGCAAGTATAGAATAATTGAAAGGCAGTCCAATCGATTGATCTATAGTAAGGCTACAATAGATCAAGATCGCTAAGACTGAGGGGGTGTGTCGCAAGTCACGTAAGCATGACTCAGCAGATATATTAGCTTATCTATAAGCTGCTTCAGGATTAAAACCTAACAACAATCCAATCCATCATACAATCAATTCTAGCCTTATCTAGAGCCGCTTGTACAGAGTTATTGAGTCGTTGATTGCCTTGCAGCAAACTGATAATCTTTGCTTAAGCAGCTTCTCTCGGCTTCCAGTCGGATGGTAGGCTGATTGCTGTACTTCAGTGCAAGATATTTGGTGTTATTTAAATATGCGATCATATGGTTGGCCTCCTTAGCGTGCTGTGGTGATGGGTTCTGGCTGAATTGTGCTAGTATGCTTGCTGCAAATGCTATATCTGGTCTGCTAACAACTGCCCTATGAGGCCCAAGCTAGCCCTGAATAAATAATGGCTTATCAGCAGCGAATTGGCTCAATCCTCTATGCGGCAGCGGTCAGCAGACCAGATGTAGCATTTGCAGCAAGCATACTAGCACAATTCAGCTAGAACCCATTACCGCAGCATACTAAGGAGGCCAACCATGTGATCACATATTTAAATAGCACCAAATATCTTGCACTGAAGTACAGCAATCAGCCTACCATCCGACTGGAAGCCGAGAGAAGCTGCTTAAGTAAAGATGTGCGGTCCTGTTGTGACCCTGATGGATCCGATAAAATCGAGCAGCCAATCGATCCAAGCCAGATGACGGCAACTCAAGAGCGGCTGTACACAATTAAGATCAATGCAACTTTTTGCACGATAATAGCTTCCTTTTTCCTTCTTGTACGCTGCACAGCAGCGATTCCTTTGCATGGTTTAGGTTAGCTAGGCACCCAAATGCAACAGTTATGAGCCCGGTTTGCCTCACACAAGAAGGCGACTGGAGGTGATTGAACCGGTGGTATCGCTAGTCGTCTAGCAGGCTGACTGAACCGGTGGCATCGCTAGTTATCTAGCAGGCCAATTATTCTTGATCCATATGTTGAACGATGAGCAAGCACAGCGAGCAAGTTAAGACTCCATTCAGAAGGGCGACTGCGCTGCGAGAGACGTCTTGCAGTTCCTACAGCCATGTGGCATATACCCTATCATCAAAGAATGGCTTACTACTAGCACAAGGCAAATAGATCAAGCAATAAAGACAGCGGGGAGCGAGATACTCAACTATTATCCAAGCAGAAGCTGCAACAGAGGTGTATATGTGGGAGGGGTCATCCATATACCAATTGCTATTATCTTGTTCCCACAATAGCACCAATAGATGACATCATATGTTGGCCATTGTAGATCTCCTCGAACGCATAACCTTGCCTTATGCTTTAGCAGATAGCCCTCAGGATCTAGTTTACAGGTAAAGACCCATTTGAGTGGTAGCACCTGCTGATCCTGAGGTGCTTGCACTTCTTTCCAGCTTTCATTCCATCGTAGTTGATCCATTTCGGCTTGTGCTGCAGCGATGAAGCCCTGTGCTTCTGGATGTTTGAGCATCCGGTGGCAGCTGTTTGACGGTGGCAGCTGTTTGACGGTGGCTCGAGCTGCGTCCCATGCTTCCTAATTGATTGCGCTGAAGCGGCTGCAAATGCTTGTCGTATGCCTGAATCAAGCTTTAGGGGCTTAAGTGAGTAGCTATGCCTATAAGCCCTGCTATCCAGCTCATCAATTGAGCGCTTGACTGCCTGAGCACTTGTAGCTTGTTTGGCCTTGCTCGATTGGGTGACTGTACGACCTGAGCTCGTTCGAAGGTTGCGAAGGGCATCAATAGCTGTTGGCTGAGGTCATCGCTGCTGACTGCTCTTGCGGCGGTCACTGGTGATGGTGGCATATGTAACTGGGCTTGCGGTTCGGCATGTACCTCTATTTATTGTCTTCGGGTCTGTGGAGGTTATCCCTGAGTAACTCTAGCACTGCCTTGAGCCGATCCACATGACCGGTCTCCCTATCTGCCTGGCCGAGATCGCTCATAGCACTGTTGTAGAATGCTGGATTGATGGTCTCGGTAGCTAGGATGAAGCCGCGGCACGCTTGCGCCTCACCTAGATTCGGAATATTCAATGCTCTTAGCCTAGGTGCTAGAGCGATCCATCGGTTGAGCCACTTGTCAACAGACATTCGTCTTGGGCCCTTTGTTAGGCTATCATATTCCTCTCGAGCAAGATCCTCGATCTGCCTTTTGATGGCTTAATGGCGATACGCAAGTTCGTGAGTCGTTGCCCGAGGGGACCTGTATTTTCCCACATATTGTCTCTGCGTATACTCAAGACGCCTAGAATCGAGAGATTTTTTGTAGAGCAACGCTAAGGAACTAAAAAGCTGAGGGTCAAGTGCTGCAGGCTACAAGAAACAGCACAGCTTGGGAGTGAAGAGGTCGCAGGTACTTGTAGGCCCGTTGCAGCATTTTGAGCGCATCCGACGCCACACTGAGCTTTAAAGAGTTCTGATTGGGTTGGATGTGCTGAACTAGTCTTGAGCTAAACTGCCTCTGACCGGAAGAGAGCAGGCAACATGGCAATGGATATGAAACTATCAACGCAAGCTGCCACAGCACTGGTAAGAGCTTCTTAGCTTTTGGTGATGAGGCTCTGTGATTGACCTAGCATCATGTACAGCCAACGAAGATGGTCAAAAATAAACAATGGATCATTGTCAGACGTTCCTAAGAATTATCTCCAGGTTCAGCAAGCAAGCGACCATGAGGGTGTAACTTAAGTCTGGCGGTGTGCTAGAATTTTCCGTTATGGCCAATGGCCGCAAAGGCATAAACGCGACGGCGATCCCCTCGGCCTCTCTTCAAGTTGGACATGCTTTCCACTCTGGCAATCCATGTGTGGCTGTAAATTGCGATCACAATCTCGGGTTTCAACAGCAATGTCTTTAGAATGCTATGAAATATTAAACGGAGAACTACATTAAAAAGAGAACGTAGTACTTTTAACATTGACACATTGGATCGTTGAGCTCCTTACTGCCTGACTGTATTTCCAACGCTATTTCGGAGCGGGAAACGGCTCTCGCTACTGAGAGGAGGCTCGTTACCCGGCAAGCTTGCCACTTTTGCGTCAGCATCAGCCTCGAATATCGGCTGCGCTTCGATTTCGACCGTTGGCGGCCTGTATTGCGGAGGCCCAGTTGAGTGAGACATCCAACTGGTATGAGCCCCATCCGCGTTGTAGTTGGCATATGGGGGAAACCCGTACATCATGGCATTGGGGAGGTTATGTGACATTTGCGGCGACGAAGGCGCCGCCATTCCCGCTGTCGAAGTTGTCGAATAGAGTTTTGGGGCCTCGTTCTTGTCGTCTTGTATTTGGGATGCCGAAGAAGCTTTCCGCTGTTTTCTTCTCAGAATTGACTTGTGAACGAACATACCCGCTATGAACAGCAGAGCGAAAAGTATAATGCCCCCGACGCCAGCCCCTACTCCAATACCGATTTTTTCACCCTTGCTTAAGCCACCAGATCCCGAGGGTTCATCCGCGCAAGGAAGACCAAGAGCGTACACTTGATTGACAATGACAGAGACAGTTGCAGCAGTCAAGGCAGTCTGCGCGGCTGCAGATACAATAGAGCTGGATACGGATCCGGGCAGGGGCATTGCCGTTGTTAGCATGCTGTAACAGGGTGTGATGCCGCCAATGAGGACTTGCGGGTAGAGGGAATATCCCCTGGACGTGTTAAGAACTCTGGTGAAACAGAAGCCATGTACTCAGACATACCTTGGACAGCATACCGGATCAATATCGATAAAATCATCAGGGCATATGCTGAGAGGCGACGCACTGAGCTTTGAGATTATACCTGTGACCACATGTTCTGTGGTAGTTGATGATGATGATGATGATGATGATGATGATGACGATGTAACGCTCGTGCTGGAGCTGTTGTCGGATTCGGGCGGGGACAAGGACGGGCAGCATTCAGGTCTATCATCGCTGCATCCTACAAGCGGTACTTCGATTACTGCACCCCCCTGCAAAGCCAGCGGTGTATACTGTGGTATATCGCAGACTCCGGTGAGAATTGCCTGGCCCGTGAACGGAACTGTAGGAAGCGCAAGGGTCGAAGTTGTTGAGACGGTTGATGTTATCGACGACGAGGAAGTCGTGGGCGTATAGGAAGATGAGTTGTATGACGGAAGAATGACAATTGCCAGCGTGCTGACCGATGTGACAGTCACTTGATTGGTTCCACTGTCACTCTGTTCACTGCCTGTAGGACCCGGCTGAGCGTGGCCATGTCGAAATAGTAGTAAAAGCAAAAGGGAGATTGTGAGAATCATTTTTGCAGTTGGGGCGAAACGCGCAAGAATGATCTCTCGACAATCAAGGCGTTGAAATGGGCGAAAGCCTTACGTTCCTGTCATTTTCTCTGCCCACATGTTCCTCTCGGCTTGTTCCATGCCCAGAAACAACACGCATGGTTGCCCAAGGCTGGATCGCTTCCACGACCATATGCAGCAGACGCAGAAAGATCACAAGCTCTTACAAAGTACCTCTTGGCATGGGGGCGGAAGTCTTGGAACGCCACCAGCTCCTGACTGGTCAGCGATAGTCCAACCTCAGACTGAGGCAATGACATATCTGGTGACATTCACCTGGCTAATTTTGCTTGGCTTTTCAGGCAAGCTTTCACAAGACTGAGCTTTATTCCATACTCGGTATGGCTGCATGAAATGTCAGTTAGCTAAGAAAGGCTCTTTATCGTCAACTTTATCTTTCGCGACTATCCCGTTTTGCTCTTTGGGTCTCAGGTTGCGGATTGGACACCATCTTCCACTCTAAAATGAACGCCGTGCGTGAACCCACAATTCAGCAACCAAGCGGCACTATATTCTGACTTGACGTGTAAAGAGATTTCAACATGGTGCACTCGACGCTGGGCTGTGCCCGAGGAAGTACGAAGTTACAGTTCTAACATCTCGAGCAGCGAAGTTTTGGCCCCATCTAGCCCAGCGACATTTCAGGGCACCCATGACGAGAAGCAACGGCTATCATGTCGAGGTACCGACGGAGTTGAATCCTTACAGCCAATCTTTTGTGTTCTAGACCTTTGAGAGCTAGCATGATCTTTACCGGTTGAACAGTTTGTTGCTTGCGTTGAGTTGAACGGCTCAACCAGGAATCCACGAAAAGACTACAAAAACTTTGCCTCGATTGATTCTGGTTTCAACTCTGCTTTTTCAGGTTAAACAAAGCTGTCTGCTCGCCTTATGCCAAAGATGATTGGCGGATGCGTTGATGTGCGGCTGAGTATGGATCAACTCAGCGGGGTACGGTATATTCCGGGGTTTTCGCTGCGTATGTTGGACACGTCAAAGAAATCCGATTGTTCAAATGCCGAGCAAATGGAGAAATCCGCTTTTCAGCAAAAAAGCCGCTTTTGATTTCTTACTTTTCGCTTCCAGCCTTCCTAGGCTTCTCGTACTCGCTAGAATTGGTTTCTGCGATGCTCATAGAGGCTTGGCTGCGTGAGAACATGATGATGAAAGAGAAGAATTCGATTTTCGCTTACTGAGTACTAAAGGAAGCAGTTGTTGGTCAAGCTTTCGTCGTTTCGTGTAGCTGACACGACCTTTTTTTTATCCTAACGACGCAGCCATGCTATCTGTTATTTTGTCTGTAACATTAGTGGTGCTTGGCACGACTGCATCAGCAACTCACGGTGAATCCATCCATGTTGAGAATGGCCAATCGATTCAAGCCGCGATCGACTCAGCGCCTCCAGGCTCCTGCATAATTGTTGGGCCTGGTACCTATGAGGAGCAGCTAACGATCAGCAAAAGCGGGATAGCTCTGCGTGGGAATGGTGTCATACTAAAACCACCCACCACGCCCACCTCCAACATCTGTTCTGGCCTTGCGGGCAATGACACTGAGGCCGGAATCTGTGTCTCCGGTAGTGATATAGTTCTTGCAGACTTTGTTCAGGAGCATCGCAAGGTGCTTTCGGTCGGAAGCTATGTTGAGGGCGTTTCGATCACCGGTTTTGAGATCCATGGCTTTACGGGCTTGAACATTGCGCTGGTCGGAGCGAAAGATTCGATGGTGTACAGGAACACTCTGTACGATGGGGGACCTTACGGCTTTTTGACCGTAGGCTCCCTGAATACTCATGCGGCCGGAAACACAGTCATGACTACGGACGCTATCTTATTCATCGGCATGTGCATGGACGATGTTTCTCCTGCAGAATATCGCGATAATTATGTCTCTGGGTATCTGATTGCATTCTGCCTTCAGACTGAGGGTTCTGTGGTCACGGGTAACACGGCAACGAACAATTGCGTCGGTGCTTTCCTCGACCCAGGCATCAAAGACATTACCTTTACCCACAATCACATCAGCTCGATCAATCCTGGTTGCCCGTTGAGCTCCCCAGAATTTGCGACCGGAGGTATCATTGTCTTTGGCGCATCTGACGCTAAAATCACCGGAAATGTTGTTGAGAACCAAAAGAACAAAGGCACTGGCTTCGGTCTCATACTTTCGGACAGTCCACCAGACAGCCTTGCCTCCGGAAATCTCATCGAACACAATATTTTTCGTAACAACGATATCGACATAGGGATCTTCACAAATGCGACCGACAATATATTCAAGCAAAATGAATGTTCGACGCCTGCCGAGCTTTGCAGTGCTTAGGAATCTAAACTCCGTGAACATCACTGGTGATTTCAATAGCGCGTGCACGAGTTGCGAACAATGAGATGATCTACTTTGTTTGGCCATCGAGCTAACCACTACGGTAGTACAAGTACTAGAATTGAAACCGAAATTAGGAATTCAAGAATCATGTGCTGCAATCGATCTTGCTATCGCTCGTGAATATAACTGTACATCGCCGCCCTCGACCGAAGACTGCGAGCGATAGAAATAACTGTAGCTAAATGTCGCATGTAGTCCATCTTTCACAGGTATTATTCCTTATTCCCATAAGGTTTGCAGAATGAAAACCGATCTTTCTCTCTCTCTCTCTCTCTCTCTCTCTCACTTTATTTTATATATATATATATATAAATTTCCTTTTTCTTCTTCCGTTTGACTCTTATGATTATTTTGATTATAATTATTGTCATTATTCTCACTGAGATAAGGGGTAAAAGCATGGTCAATAGGAACATTGAACAACCTGGGCAAGCGGCAGCTAACCAGTCGTTTACTCGGATGATCTGGGTGCGGGGAAGGTTAGAGGCGATCAAAGAATACCCACTCTTAGAGTCGGCTGTAGGAGCCGGTAGCAGTACATCGTTACCACAACTTTGCGATACTATACAAATTAGAAAGAGAAAGGTACGAGGCTTATCCCTCTTCTCTGGTCCTACCAAATGCGAAATCTTTTTCCCCCTTCTCCCTCTTTCCTAGGGGCGGGTAACCTGACACGGCCATGTGCAACACCCTAGAAGCTCAACAATTCACGGCTAAAATCATGATAGGGCGTTGGCTTCTTGATGGCACTAAACGTCAATTCCGTTCCTGAGAGCGATGGGACGATATATCCCAGTCTTAGAGGCAAAATCGTTCTCCTCACAGGTATTGGTCAAACAGGAGACCCCTCGCTGTGGGGTAACGGCGCGGCGACTGCGCGCATCTTTTGCTCCAACGGTGCGAAGGTGTTCGGCTGTGACCTAAATCGTGAATCTGCGCAGGCCACGCGGACGCGTCTCATCAACGAATTTGGCGATGGTTGCTGCGACGTTGTCCAGGCTGACGTGACTGTTGCCGAGGACGTGAAGCGCTTGATCGCGGCGTGCATGAACCTCCATGGCAGAATAGATGTACTTGTCAACAATGTGGGCATGAGCATGAAAGGAGGGCCAGCGGAGATGGATGAAGCCACGTGGGACGCGCAGATGGATGTCAACATCAAAAGTGTCTATCTCACTTGCCACTATGTGTTGCCTCAAATGGAGGCGCAAGGATCTGGAGTTGTCATCAACATTTCGTCCATCGCTGGGTTGAGATACGTGGGGAAGCCACAGGTGGCATACGCTAGCATGAAGGCCGCCGTGATCCAGTTCACACGCACGACGGCTGTGATGTACGCGCCAAAAGGCATTAGGCTGAATGTGGTTGTGCCTGGTTTAATACATAGTGCGCTCATCTCCGTCCTTGCGGACAAGTACGCAGAGGGCGATGTGGCAGGCATGGTCAAGAAGAGAGATGCTCAATGCCCGACAGGTAAAATGGGAACAAGTTTTGATGTAGCAAACTCTGTCGTGTTCCTCGCGAGCGACAATGCAAAGTACGTTACAGGTGCTGAACTGGTTGTCGACGGAGCAATCACATGTAGCACAGGGCGAGCGTGAAAGTTTCTATAAAGACAGAAAATTGAAACCTAGTGGGCTACAATTCTATTCAGGAATATTTGTACAGAGAAATAGCCAGTATCAAGCGCCTTGTATGTCCTCGTTTACGCGTCCTTCCCATTATACAGAGCCGAGACATTCGCGAGCCGTAAAATCCTAGGAGCAAACGAGAAGCAAAAGAAACTAGGAATGCCAAAAAGGCTACATCGTGAATGAGGTATAGTTTCGACTCTCTGTGCATCACGGCTTAAACCGATGTTTCTCATGAGATCCCATTGAGCCCCAATCCAATAGGAGTTTTTACGTCCGCTGTAAGAGAAGGGGTAGCACTTTCGCTAATAGGACTGTAATCAGGTCTTGCTGGGCTCGGTTCCGATGTTTTTCGCATCTTTGCAAGGGAAACTTGCAGCGAAGGATCATGATCTTTTGGTATTGACTCCTCAGCCTTTAATATACCGAATCCAGGGCAAGAGGCGGCGATGGGTGGCGGCGTGTTCGAATCATTCTCCTGCTCGTGCTGCTCCTTGGTTGAGATTTGCGGCTTCGCGGAAGGACCAATCTTTTCCAAAGGATGTGTCCAGCCAGAGCCTGCGCAAGGACGAGCGCTCTCATCTTCACGTGACAAGACCTGTTGGAAATCCTGAGAGGATTGATATTGTGGAAATTGCTGTGTGCCTCCATTGGGACAATAAGTCGATCTTCCCGCAGTTTCGGCCTTCGCCTGCGCGGCATATGTGCGGGCTGCCAAACCACGTTGCAATTTCATCTCGTATTCAGCACCAAATCCAAAGCTGTTCGCGTACGGGCTACAATATTTCTCTGGTCTTCTTGCGTATGCATTTCGTAAGTACGGGTATTTCGATATGTGCTCAATGTATTCGACGGATTTGGTCTTTGGTACACTTTTAGACGCCGCTGAAGTAGATGATATGGAGACAGCTGGGCTACGAGTGAGTGTCGGTGTTGGGCCTGAAGCGGCGAAATGTTGATATGATTGTTGATGGGAGTAGCGTCTCTCCGCCTGCTGATACAGGCTGGTGCCCCCACCGACAGATGACGCGTTATTTCCCACAACCGGACCTGGTTTTGACTGCAAGTACGAAGCACCTGGAGGAGAATAGTGGGGCCTTGTTGGAGGCGTAGTAGAAGATTGTTGTGATAGTTTTGATACTGGGGACGGTGTGTAAGTTGAGGAGGCAAATTTCGAAAATTGCTGAGTGGGTCCGCTAGTGCTCGAGTGCCATGTGAAGGTTGCCTTGAAGATATTCGGTTGCACCTCTTGTTTCGGTTTATATTGATATGGCTTGTCCGTGCTGGGTCGCGGTTGCAGTGGGGGTCGCTGGGCAAGGCCAACACCATTCGGTCCAGGCACGTAGGTCACACCATGTGATCCAAAGCCGGTTCGCTGAGGCGTGTAGTTGACTCTTTGAGGCAGTTCTCTGACTGTGTCTAAGAAGTTACTCTTCGGATTGTGTACTTGTATGGCCAGGTCGTGCGTGAACTGTGCCTTCGCGTCCGTGCTTCCCTTCCCGAGATAATACCACACGCCCTCAGGATTGGACATGTTGACATTCTTTTGAGCCGGATTCTTGAGCTCAGAGCGATGTACGGCGTTGAACTCTTCCCAAACCTGTTCGGCTTCCGGATCCATGAATGGATCGCCTTTCGAAGGCACGCCATCCTGCCTGTTGCCTGTACTGAATTCACTGCGGTCTAGCTTCTTCCTATCGGGTAGGGGAAGGGCGTCGGGAGAGGGTTTCGGCCGCTGAGATTGTTCTGGATCTAGGACAAGAATGTATTTATACTCAACTTCGACCAAGTCAAGCCTGCGAATTATATCAGCGTTGGAGTCAGTGTGAGTGGACGCTTCGTACCCTTCTGGCTCGATAGCAATAACTACGGTTGATTCGCTTGGTCGGTTCTCAACAACCACGCCAGCGAAAATATCACTGTCCAGAGTTTGCGCTTGGATCAGCGTACCCTTCTCCAGGTTTCGTGCGAACTTGTTAATGAGCTTGCTATTTTCCAGACTCTCACCTAGCTTGCCGTCATGATTTTTGGGCCGTCGTGGTCGGTGGAACCGGCATCGGAAGTCCTGACCAATTTCGAAATACTCCACGCCTTGCTCGTCCCATGTAGGTACAGGTCCCTCGTCGACCAGAACGCCAGCGGACGCCAAACAAGTCGCGTGGAAGCTACGAGTACATTTTGTTGCAGCACACTGGACTTTTGCGCCCTTCTTTGAGCGACAATAGTTGCACTTGAGGTCGAGTCGTGCCTTATCGATGTGTGAGACGTTACAAGCCATGTCCTTACCCGTCGCAGGATCCTGTCGGATATACACGTCTGGTGTGTATCGTGCGCACGTGAGATGTGCCTGTTTACCATTGTCGGTAAACAGCAACTGGTCCCAAGCTGCCTCATTGGGACAAAGAATACAAGGCTCTTTGCCCGCTGTACGAATGCGAAGTTTGATTCGTTTTGTCTTGCGGCTCTCGGCGCTCTTGGCTTCTTTGGCTGGCCGTTTGCGCTTCTTGGCCGCAGTGCTCTTTGCGCCTTTCAAGCTTGGGGGTGGAGTTGGCAGTACTTCTTCCTCGTCATCGCTTTCATCATCGGTGACCTCGTAGTACTCCGGGGTCGGTTCACCGCGTAGCTTGCGTTCAATCTCGTTCACATCAACCCAAACACTGTCCGCTTCACACAAACACTTTTTCGCTATGCGCCCATAGTTAAGCCAATCCTCTGTCGCGAAGTTGACGGACTCGGCGCAATTGTAACCGAGATTGAATCCGGAGTGGTAACCATAAGGATATGTAATCACAAACTCACCCTCGTAATGAACAAGTCGGTTGACTTGAATTCCAAACTGTGACTTAAGCTTGTCGGGAGAGATGAGATACGTCTTGTGGCGCAAAAATTGGTCACAGTGCTTGTAGTCTTGCGGCCAAAGAGATCGCATCGCATTCTCGAATTTGCGAGCGTCGGCTTGGCTGATGCTGTACCATTGCTTGGGAGCACCAAAGTGGATGTAATTAATGCTGTACAAGTCGACGTCCTCCAAGTGCCAGGCAAAAGTAGCTTTCCACATGCCGAGATAAAGGTAAGCGGTGTTGACCCCAGGCACCTTGGTGCCGAGCACATCCAACAGGTTGGGCAGGTGGGCCACATTCCAGCTTGTCACCGAGTCATTGAATAGTGAGCCAGGCATATCCGCGCCATACATGGGTGTACCAAAATTGATTGTCTTCCAGTAGGTTTCTTCGAGCTCCTTGCATCGCTCAACGTCAAACTGCTCGACGTTCTCGAGACGGTAATTGAACCCCTTGAAAGCCTCTTCATCAACTTCCCAGGTCTCGGACTGATTATGGAGTCGGCGCGAGGCTACCGATTTCTTTACGTCTTTAGTGGCTCTTGGCTGACGACCATTGCTCACAACAGTTGACTTTGGCGTTGAGTTCCGTCCTGCTCCTTTGCGTGCCCTACCACGTGCTTTGATGTCCGACTTGTCGTCTGATGCGTGGTTCGCCTCCACTTCCTCCCCGTCCTGACCTTGGTTGGGCGATGTTGGCGTGGGAGGTACCTGCGGGGTGTCGCTCTCTATGCTGTCTTGAGGCACATCTTCTTCCTTGACAGCAGCTCGACGAGCTCGACCTTGTTTGCGTTTACTTCCGTCGTTCGATGTTGCGGCGGCAGCAGAACGTGGAGGTCTGGCGGCCTTGGCTGCGTCCGCTTCCTTGCGGCGGTCGCCTTTTCTTGGGGGGGTTCTGTGGTTGCTCTCCTCGCAGAGTGCCTTCCACTGTGGAAGGTTATACGAACGTTGTTTCTCTATGTTGGCTTGCGTGTACGTGCCGTGAGTGCCAGCGAATTCTTGGGTAATGGGATTCTTGACACGAATACTCTTGACGGCTTCGTCGAGAGGGCCAAGGGAGTCGCGCCTGCTGTTTGGTTAGTCTTCGTTCACTATTGTCCTTCTGAAGTTGAAGCTGGGAGAGTGAAAAGCACATGTGTTTCACGAAGAGCGTTAGAAAGTTGCGAAACGGTTGAGACGACGCAGTAGATGGGAGTTTCGGGCTAAACTGACCATTCCTGAGGCGCAATGACCTTGACGATGCCGCTCTGCATACCATAGCCGTCGATGGCCGCAATGAACTTGCCAAAGTCGCGGAACTGACTCATAGTCTGCGACAAACATTAGCACTATCTTCTTGAAACGTAATGGTTAAGTCTGCCGGCGTCGAACAAGTCACGTCTTAGCACAAGCCAAGATGGAAGCACTGGTGAAGAAAGTGCCGACGACGTACCGGTTTGAAAACGGGTATCTTTCCCCCATTCTCACCGTCCCAGTAATGATCCGGCTTAATGTCGTCCAGGTCTCCATCAATATCGTCAATGTCGGATAAGTCAGATGAATCGTCTTCATGCTTGTTCATGTCTTCGCTGGTGGGCGGAGTGGGTATGCGGTCAGACGAGGGCACTCCGTCTTTGGAGGCTATCTTAGGCGAAGAACCAGCCGCGGTCACGGGCGGCGAAGCCACGGCGGCTGCCATGGCCAGTATAGAGGCGACGGCGGAGGCGCGCAAGCCGCGGGGAGTGCGTAGGATAGGGTGGCGCGAGAGCGGAAACGAGCGACTGGATGGGTGAAGAAGGGGTCGAATCAGCGTCGCAGGGCCGGGTCCTGATGGTGACGCAGGATGTCGAGGTGTGGCATCGGCGTCAGGGGCGTTCTCGAGCGAGCAAGCGGACAACGGAGGTGGGAGGTGGTGACGAAGGTTGGTAGTGTTCCTTTGAGATGTAAAGCGGAGCCCCAGGTGACGGGCGGCCAATCAGCGTGGCAGAAGCGCCCGTCCTAGCCTGTGCTTGGGTTCGTTGCGGGTGTGGGCCGACGCAGACGCAGAACAGAAAAGCAAAAGAAGGGGAAATGCGAGAATGTCACACCACAATCGCACGAGAGAGGCCTGCCCGGCTGATCATTTGGCTGCGATGATACGACACTCTGCCCTGTGATTGTGAATGATGTGCCAAACAGACGCGTGCACCTCTATTCGCTTCGCTTTATTCTTTGCGTTTTCGCCACGCCTCTGCAGAGCACAAAGAGCCCAGACTTGTACCGTCGTCAGCGAGTAACGTTGGGCAATCGTGGCCGAGGAAGTCGCCATGCGGCTCAGCACCGCCAACCACCCGCACCTTCCGCCGCACACCTCGCCCGCCAACCCACCTCAGCACCTTCCGGCAGAAATCGAGCACCCCTTCCGACACCCGTAGCACCTTCCTCGTCGCCGCTGCTACACCGCCTTCCCCGGCATGTTCATCAACACCATCGTCATCACCACCTTCCATCATCACTACCGTCCATCACCACCACCAGCCATCATTACCACCATCACGTCTCGTTCACGTCGTCATCATTATCATCATGTTCTTCTTGTCCAGTGCTAGCAACACCACCCCCTTCGTAACTTACCGTACGCTTATCGAACAATGTTCGTGCCCAATGAACTCGAAACAAGTCCTTGCATTGTACTTCATCTGCCTCTGAGCAACAACCACAAGAAGGGGCTCGACGACTTACGTCCAGCGTGAATAGATTTGTTTGCGCCAAGCATGTAAAGACAGCCACGTGCACATGCCGATTCACAAGGACAACAGCATCTTACGGTGGGCAGCATGAATGCTCACGTCCTTGCACATGTGATATGCGTTGAGCGTAAAATGGTGATCCTGCATAACACCATGCAACATCTACCGCGTTCCTGCATTGTCTTGACCAGCGAACTTTGGCATGGGTGGGGTTGCGCTTCGAATCTGATCGCTACGCACTGTCGCTCAAAGAGCCAGCCATGACAACGGCTAGATCCGATAATCAGATCTTGCCAAGCAATCCTATACCAGTATCCGCTAGATTCCAAGCTGCATGTCCGTTCTCATTCCTGTGGGCCTCCACGTACATCTAACTTGAATGGTAGGACTGGTCTCCGCCTTGACCGCCATGCCTTTTTTCTCGAGGCCTCAACGAGACTGTGTACATCGGATTCACAGCATGACGCCATGACGCGAAGGCCATCACCTGTGTCCGCGACTCGATTTCCATCAAGCCTGAAGTACTTTCTTGTCCGCCTGTTTCACCCGACTCTTGAACCATGAGTTGTCCGTTGTATATCTTCGTTTCTTCAGCTCTACAACGTATGCTCAACGTATCTCCCATTTTACATTGAGAACTGTTTTCTAGGATGTGCTTGCTGGGCATTACCTTTGCTCTGATGTCGGTCTCAGTATGTTACTCATCCTCGCAGGACATCTCACGAACCCCCATTTCACGCCACGGTGTCACTGCTTCATAAGAAACACCGCTGCCGCCCTGATCTCTCAATTCCATCAAAGGAGAAGTTTCGTGAATTTTCGATGCAAGCCACATGGGAAGTCAGCCTACTTTGTATTATTTTTCTCCCGATGGGCACCGCCTTGCTATGTCAATGATATGTGCGATAATCGCTATGTGTGATCACCCGGGGTTCCGAAAAGTGCTATCAGGACATGAACGTGACGGGAATACTCTCAGACTCGGAGTATTCCTGCGTCTATCGATGTCCAGCGTCTAATATAAGCCTTACTGAAAAAATTTAGCTTCAAAACGTAAGTGGTTTTGCTTTGGAGCGATGAACGTTATCCGCGAGACAACGGGGACTCTCCTTTGCCAGTCCCAACCTGGTTAACAGTAATCCAATACGTGTTCAAAGTGGCGTTTTTTCTTGTTCTCTTAGTATCTCTCTTCTCTAAAAAGCTTGTGATCTGCGAAGGCTTGATTACAATTCGTCTCACGCAACAGTAGGGGCGGCTTTTTTCTTCGCATCGATTCGCTCCCTCCACGTCCGGCCATATCGTATTTCCACACAAACAGCGCCTGTAACAACAACAAGAAACAGCGCCGATATGGTCGAGAACCATCCCACTCCAATGCTTTGGATGCCCGGTAAGCACACTGCGGTTCCAAGTGCGCCAAACATATACCTCAGCCCGTAGTTGCCAGCGACAACTTCCGAAGATCGAGATTGCATCACATCTAGGCAATAGGTGTTCAAGCTAGGGAAACAAAAAAGTTGTGCAACGCCTTGCAAGAACAGCATAATGACCGGCACTGCAACGCCACCTTTTGCTCGATCAATGCACCATCCATAAACCAAAACACAACCTGGTATCACAATCCCCATGGCGAAAAGTGAACTCCGAACAGTGTGCTGATTGGGTGGATCTAATTGGATAGATCCATTCGGATTTATCCAATAAGCCACAATCCAAATTGGGCGGTGGATTTGGATAATCCATCCGGATGATCCAATTATATAGTGGTGGCTTAATGCTTAGGCCAATTGTGAGCATATCTGCCACCTCTCATCACATATGCCAAACTTGCCTTATCACACCGCATTTCATCATGTCATCATTGTGCTATGCTCTTGCTCATAATAAGCCCGTCCTGAAGCCAAGTACCATCAATCATGAACAGTGGTATACCGCCATGGCAAGCAATCGAGCCTCAAGACGTCATCCTGAAAGACCTAAAAATGAGGTAGTGGTGGTTGAGTCACCACTACACTCACCATCAAGTCCCACCTCATCACTTGCAGACGCATCTATTGTTATATCAGATGTATCATCACCACCAACTCAATCAGAGGACATAAGCCTGAAAGCACACGCCGGTGACCTCGATACCTTTGTACCGAAGCGATTTGATTATACTAAGGTGGAGTTCACAAGATTGCCTGGTTTTACTAAGCAAATCGGAAGAGCAGTAAATCGGTTGAACTCACCTATATGGGATCGTGGTGTGCTTATCGAAGAAATCGAGACCAATAACCATTATTGGCTATGCTT